AAAGACTTTGCAAGAGTTGCAGTTGTGTGGAAGTACTGTTTCAAGGATAGCGAAATTCAACTTCACTAAATCGATAATTAAAACGATTGGACGTTCCATTAAAGACTTACATGTGCATTTAGCGACTAAATACAAAATTTATACCAAATGAAAAGATTTGGAAGATTTATTTATCAACATATCTAGGTCTTAGTGGTAATATACATTTGTATTCAGCTAGGGAAGGACTATTTTCATATATGTGGATTAAAACGCTCATATCTTCAGTTTGCCTATAACGCACTAATGGCGGTTATTCCTACCAGGTGGAAGCACAGCGAGTTTTTTCCGCTGCTGGCTACCTAGTTTGTAAGGTCAGGAGTCGTTTAGCAGATGAAACTATTAATACTTTATTGTTTTTGCGCAGTTACTTCCAAAATAATACTTAAATTTACCTTATTATGATAAATTATAAATAAATAAATAAATAAATAAATAACGCACACATTCAACATAACCCCGCACTAGGGAAACCCTGTGTCGCGGGTGCCATGGACACACACATAGACAACCACAAATTACACCCAAACTCACGAGAGAAATAATTGTAGGCCATACAAATATTTCTCCCGGCCCGGGAATCGAACCTGGGACCTCTGCGTGGCAATCCGGCATGGTAACCGTTCGGCCACAGAGCCAGTTAAATTAATTAGTTAGTTAATTAATTAGTTAGTTAATTGTGATTGATCTCAATAAAGAACTTAATAATATTATTTTTTTCTTTGAATTTTATCTCTTCGCAAACTTGTTGATATGACATGATCTTTTTTCTCAAAGTCTTTTCCGCAGGATCCGTCAAATACCAGGCTCCCGAGGGATCCCGCAAGTACCGGGACTGTGATTATCCTGTGAGATTGCATTCCCTACTCATGCCCATTGGTGTAGGTAGAGACTATTTATAAAACTCTCTTCCTTCACTTACATTTATCAATTCTTTCATAGAGGCCCTCTAATTCTTCTTTCTACGCACTCCAGCTTTTCAAGAACACTCTTTAACTGATCTAAGAATGTTATTTGTGCCCGTCTTCATGCAATGATGTCTTCCACGTTAGTTCTGTATGTTATTTCTTTCGTTAATCTACATTCATCCATTCCAAGTGCCACCTCAACATAATATATTTGACTTGTTTGACATATTTGATTGACTGCATGTAATGCGTGAAGTCGTAATCAACTTCGAGTCGAGGTCTCGGCTGCATGAAGTTGAGTATGACTTCACGCATTAACTGGCATATTCGCGGATGAATCAGTTTCCTTAAAACTTGGCAAATAGATATAATTGTACAAACTTTCAAAAGTTAATGTTGTTTGAAAAATATATTTGTATTAAAATTACGTCATTCGGTCTTTTTTAATAAAAATGTTATCATTTCACGCTTCTAATATTTGTTTATTATCTTGGAATGTTTATTTTAAGTGAATATATGTCTGAATCTAATGCTGTATACGCAGTTCCCGTCATTCAGTTAACTCGGGTAACTTCCTCAGGGAGCAGCCGTCGCGCTTCGCTGCTCGCAATATATGTAACCATCACTCATTCATCCTTTCGACCGACATGCCTTTGTATCTGTAATTATTCTGACATCCGAGTATTCATTGTGAATTACTTGTGTCGTCATGAAATTGCTATTAAGTGGCTGGAACTGTCGGAAGAGAAGATCTTGCATATTGCCTTGAATATACTAAGGTCACATTTATAGTAACGCAATACAATTTCGTACTAACTATGTTTCTAAAGCACTGAGTTTAATAAGTAAATGTTCAAATTTTAAATCTCAGTAGGACTAAGTAACGATAGCGTACTCTGTTAGATACTATTATGTACTTACAAACATATGCGTAGATGTAAACTAAAATTATATTTTGATCTTTAAGGTAAGGCGGTAAATGTTAACTTTTGACTATTAGAAAAAGAACGTAGTTCACTACAATTCCGCAATATGTTCAGGTTTATAAATAACCTTGTATTACGTCTTTATCACCTCAGACTATTTACTACTCTTGCGTAAGGCAGTTTTGATTAAAAACCTCAGAGTAAAAGTAAAAACCAAGAGTAAAAACCTCTATCCTGTAACCTATCTATACTGCCAACCGGTATATTCCCCGTTGAAGCCCACGCAACTCACGTGTCAGTCATAAACGTGGAATGACCACGCCCCAGCCACAATAGAAGGCAATATTGAGCAAAAAGTTACAATTTGTAATCAACTACATGACAACGCGAAAGCTACCGTAATCTCAGAAGGCCTTTTAATCTTGACACCAAAACCTTGAAAATTAAGTCGAGAGTCTATTTGGTACATACTCGGAAGACCGCAGATAACATTTGAAATACATATTTTGTCCTTTGTTTTAGTCTGCAATAAAGAGTATTTCTATTATAATAAAATAAAACAATATATTTAAATAATAAAAGGAAAGAATGTCATTATTAAAATCACAATTACGGCGCTCCTGGCATTGACTCGTGAACTACAGACCGTAAAGGCTAACGGACGTGAATCTATAATTGAATTTCCTATAAAACGAATAAAATATATCAAGATGATTATGCAGAGTGTAACAAAAAAGGTGCTACCACTTTAAACTGATCAACAGACATACAATAACAACCAATTTCAGCATAACTATAAGTTTCATTTATCAAAAAAGTTACATGCTCTCCGATTGACGTATCAAATTGCAGGTAGGGATCTAAAGTTTTTCTAAGTAAGTCTTAAGTTTCAAGTAGGTATGTCTTGTCTATGTTGAATATGGTAGACATCGCTTCTGCACAGCAGTAAAATACGATTATAATGGGTTACAAAAAAGAAAAATGACAGAAAAACTTTTTGTGTAATAAGAATGTTCAATACCGCATAATTATACATTTATATTACTTTGTTGCTATGTTACTTTTAATGTATTTTTATGGATTTCGAAATTCAATATTTTTTAAATTTAAATGGTAAACATAATTTTAGTTTTTAATCATAGTTTTTTGTATATGATTTTAAATTTTATATTTCATTTTAAAGTCATAAATATAAATTGACTATGTTTTATTGTTTGTTTTTAAAGTTTCCGTTTAACACAAAACAGGTATTATACTCTAGTGGCTAAGAGACCAAATTGGTATCGCTGCATAACTACCTATACAACTATAAACTAACCTATATAATTCTTTAGTCTATCTATTCCAACCATAGACATATATCTAGATATAATGTCTGTGATTCGAACAAACGACACGCCTGACTATTTTATAAGACAATCTAGCCGCCAACGGCGAGCTTCTGTATAAAACGCCTGATTGCTTTAACCTAATGAGGCAAGCTGCTCAGCGTGGTCCCTTACTAAAATACTGCCTTTTTATAATTAAAATATCGTAGTTCATTTGTATGACAGTACCTAAATTAATTATGAATTGTACGTATACGTACAATACGTAACAATAAAATGGTCCAAAAATTCCAAGTGTCAAGCTTGACGTGCGTAGACAACTATAGGCGCGCGTGTTCGTGTGCATGCATGCGTGCCTCCGGGTGTGCAAGCATGCGTGCTTGCATGCGCATGAGCGTGTGTGTGTGCTTCCATGTGTGTTGCTAAAGTCTACGATGTGTAGAGCAATATATGGTGCACAGAGGACATGCTGCCTTTTACTAAATATATGGGTACCTATATACTAAATCTATGTTGTAGCTACACTTAAAAACAAATACGCAATACACTTACACGAATTTTAAAGGTCATGAAATTACCTAAGCAATGAAATGTATCGCAACAATCATCAAACAAAAAAAACAACGGTGACTTTATATTTTTTCTTCCTAATGTAGCCCATTCACACTATAAATGTAATAAATAAATATCACGTCTACACTACGATTTTTTGTTTCACAGATTTGCAAACCAACTACAAAAAATATAGGACGGCAGTGTTCTGATCCGTTTCAATTAGATTTTGCTCAACGTAAATAAAAAGTGTTGTTACTTAAGTTTTTGTAACATTGACAAAAATCTTATTATAGTTCACCTGCAACTAATTTAGATAAATTGACACCTAAATCATTTTTCTTCTACCCGTTTCGATATGCATTCTAAGAAGACTTCTTTTGTAAAGTAGCTTATTCTGATACAGGTAGTACTGTCGATATCCTAAGATACCTGACCCCTTAGCCGACATTTTGGTTCTAAGAGCTTTCTTACGCATTCAATATAAAAAGGTAAAGGAATTCCAGCCTTTTTTGTTTGAAATTAGTATTTATGTAATGTAAATAAAGATAAAATTTTATTAAAAGTTTCTTAAAACGTCATTCAATAATGAGGCAATAAAAAAGTCATATAAAAATGATTTTACGGTTCATATGTTAATTTTGTTTAGCACCTTTCTTTACACTGATCTACTCAGAACTAAATAGTCGGTTAGGAGGTATCTTAGGGCATCGACTGTGCGTACGACTTAGCGTTGTGTAATGTAATGCTGTCTTATGTGAGTGAATTGTCAATTTTTAATGTCAAATAAAGAATATTTAATTTTATTGAGTAATTTGAACTTTTTATTCCCAGTAACTGACTTCTGTAAATAGATGTAAAAACATATTTTTGCAACATTATTTTTAAACATTTGTATCGACACCACCTAGCGTGGGATAAGGACAGGAAGAAGAAGAAGAAGAAGATTTTTGAACTTCTACAATGCCTGTACTTGTAATACACAACTTCTGGAAGTTCCTAGAAGTACTTTTATTTGAAACTAAAGACCTAGAAGTAATATGCAAAGTCTTGGTGTATTATCTGTACCTTTAAGCGCAACGTAATTTGGCATTGACAAAATGAAAAAAAAAAACACTTGTGAATATACTTTTCAACTAAAATTCAGTGGTGAAAAGTAAGAATTCACAGATGTGAAGTCCGAATTCCCTTCCTTAAAAAAATCGTATTAGTGTGTGCGAAATTCTTACAAATATTTTTGTTCACAGTGTTCATAATACCTCAACGATGGGTGATGGCAGTAATGGGATTCTTGGCGGTGGCCAACGCTTACACAATGCGGGTCTGCCTAAACATCGCGATCACCCAGATGGTGCGGCACCGGTCGCATACCAGCGGCGGCCAAGGTGGCTGTCCTGTACCGAATCTCAATGACACTCATAGTGTTACTTCTGATGTAAGCTTATACGTTTTGGACCATATGAATTCTATTTCTTATTTAGATGTACTTTAGTCCTGACAGCACGTTTAAGTTTAATATATGGTGCTGCTGGGTCCAACGGCATGCTGTTCACAAGTACTCACGGCCTTTGTATACAATTATGTCACGAGTGGGTTTCTGGTCTTTGGAGTCCGCAGTAGAGAGATGTCGTATGAACCTAGGAGTAGACTTAATGAGGTGGCCCTAAAGAGGGTTTGCAAATTGACATACCGACGGAGATTTAAATGATATTGATCGTGATCGTATAGGGTGTTAGGTGCCAGATATAATATGTTGGCGCATAGATTCGCCCGTTGTAACAAGTCAAAACAATTTTATTCAAGGCATATTGTCAATCCTTCTACACGGGTGGTCTGTGAATTAACTATACGCAAAAGGTACTCGGCGCCCTGCGCGTTCAATATAATAACGGTTTCAGGATGCCGTCGGGACTACCGCGACACTGTAGCGCATCGTCGGTTTTTGCTCAAGTGGGAGTAGATGACTTTTTTGCTGTGATGCGAAAAAAGACGTCAGTACTCTCTAGACTGCGTTCTAGTCTTAACAGCATTCTAAAAACGTTTGCGGTCAAGCTCGTTGCGCCGATGCTTCATCATTTCAGGCAGTTTCTGGTGAGGTGATGGGGTAGTGCGCGTCTTGAGCGTAATAATGGTTTTTGTGGTTTATTTCTGTATCTACTAATAATAGTCATAAGTTAAAATTGTCTGTATTTACTAACAAGTGGGCCTGGGATGCCAAATAAATTATTTATTTATTATTATAAGAATATATGTTGGTTGAAAGCCATTGATTATTATACAGCCATGAACTCTTAACTAAGAAGCTAGAGTTCTACATTAGTCTAGGCTGTATAATTAAAATAGGTAGATGATACCAGACATCGATTACGACTACCAGACGTCGAGAATTTAGCAAGCCAGTACGGTGTTCGCAGCTAGAATTATACAATTTGTCAAATTAATCTTGGAAATATAAACCCTATTCGGGCACACTATACACAAATATTATGTTATTTACAAGAAAAGCTAAGAACTAATGGGTTACTGGTAGTGAGATGTGTAATGTATCATATAAATGTTTTTAACTAACGCTCATTTAATATAAATTTATTTAATGCCTACTAACTTTTTCATATTCATATTTTTCATATTCAGTTAATATAACGAACGTTTAATATAAACTTACATCCTATAATATAATTTTTGATAACATTCATTAATCCTAACACTCATTTTAAATAATAATTATAAATTATAAACCTAAGTTTACATAACTGAATAGGTTATTAAACTAAAATAAATTTGATCTAAAACATGTTCGGAAACGCAAACAAGTTCGTTTCTCGGATTCTGGCTTTTCATGTACATATACTACCTAACCTACTAAAAGAGGGGCGCATATTACAGGTATAGGTAAATACTTCGTAGAAACATACAATATTAATATTACAAATGAGAATTGTATGAAATTAAGTTACTTATGGGATGTTTTTCTTTTATAACATTAAGTGACGGGACGAACAAATCGTGCATGCCATCAGGCGTAAACCTTCGAGTATATAACCAGAAATAGAGACGAAACGTCATTGACTTACAATTATATGGACGTCGGGTCCGCGCTAAAAAGTGTCCGAACTTATAGGGCGTTAAAATCGTATACAGAGCGTCATTCACGCTTTAGTCTTCGTTTGTTCGACTGACAGCGAAGCAAGCAAAATTAGACAGTACTGCGATGACATTACAATTTAAATTCAACGTTTTAGCTTTTTCATATTCCTTTACATGTCACTACGTTTAAATAGGTTGACTTGGGACATTTTTTTCGTGGTTTTTGTATTACACCCGTCGTCCATTTATTTGTAAGTCAATGCGAAACGTCATTTAATTTGTTTGAAAACTATTCTGCCATATCATTACTGTGACAACTGCGCTCCGATTGGCCAGCCGGAGTTCGAAACAATTGACGGGTGTCGTCAACTATTTCACTTTAAATCGACCAGTTAGCTTGAGCTTTGCTATAATGGATGAAAATTGCAAAGTTACATATTTAATATTTAATTACCGATGAAATGTGATTCCGTTTATTTCGTAATTATATGTTTTGCTGGTTTTCCCACACCACCGAATAGAACAGCACGGCATTGTAAGAGATATTATCTTTATTACAATAAATGCAGAATACTTTTTGGAATATACGGAGACGTACACACAGGTCAGTAGTTGGCCTGTCTGTATTTTAGTGTAAGCGAGAGTTGATATTTATAAGAGCTGTATCGCTAATGTGTTACCAGAAATATATGGCCCTTATTTCGTCTCTATTTTGGTAAGCTCACGCCTGTCCATGACATTTGCAGTGCCACTCAGAGCTTTAAACCGCAAAGATCTTATGGGCACTGCCACTGCGCCCAACACCCTGAGACATAAGTTGACAAGTACCATATACCTGTAATTTCACCAGCACCCTTACCATTTAAAACCAGAACACAGTAATGCTAACATTAGTGCTTGGCGGCAGTACTTCTCTGGACGAACTCTTTCACAAGGAGTTCTACTGCTAACAAAAATGTGTATTTAGTCCGAGTGAAAATTATATTGAATGAATGGATGTATGAAAATACATTTCAAAATAAATTCATTTGAATTTCATACAAGTGAGGCACACTCACTGGTAGTAACATTGGTTGCAACCCGAACCACAAATTTCGCCGAACTACACCCAAAGTAAACATTGTACATTCACAAATAAATAGGTAGGTAAGACAAATGACAAGTTCAACGATCGTTACTAAATAAATGATTCTACGAATTTTGTGGTAGTTTTAATCGAGTTTAGTGCAAATATTTGTACTTACTTAAATGTTTTTCCCCGTGTTGACGGATGTATTTTGAGCGGTTTTTTTGCTATTTATTTACATGTTTCATCCGCATACCATTAAGAATTTAATCGGACATTTCGAATGCCGCATGTGACCATACATCGAGCTCCTTGTGAAAGAGTTCGTCCAGGGAACTACTGCCACCTTACCTACATACCTATATCTGTCGCCAAGCAGTAATGTCAGCATTACTGCGTTCCTGTTTTGAAGGGTAAGGGTGCTGGTGAAATTACAGGCACATGGGTCTTGTCAACTTATGTCTCAGGGTGACGGGTGCAGTGGCAGTGCCCCTCAGATCTTTATGATTTAAAGTTCTGAGTGGCATTGCAACTATTATGGACAGGCCTGTCGGTTGCCATTAGGCCCACGACTTGATCGTCCTGTCACTTGAAATTATAAAAAAAAAATACATCGAAAGCTAGCCAATTGCCATCACATGACAATTAAATAAAAAATAATGTAAAAATAATACGCACTACATGAAACAAATTTTGTACCTATATTTTACAACACTCACATTTAAGCATAAAAAAGTTATAAATAAGTACTAAATACTAAATACATAAAGATACTTGTTATAAAGTTAGAGCTGCTTTGATTTCTATTACTGATATATTGATGAAAAGGACAAAGCCTCAGCATAGTGCTGTTTTTTAGTCTGCGCCTGTGTTTCTGTCGGACAATGTCGGAACCTTAGAATAATAACGCATCATGGAATTAATAAGTACTTCGTACAACTGGAAGGCTTACTGTGTATTGAAGCGTGCGCCGAGCGAGATGTCATAAATCTTGGTCCGTCTCTTTCTGACTAACAAACAGAGATGACGCCATATTATTTTAGTGTTGCCTAATGTAAAACAAATAAAACTTTCCAATAATATTTAAATATCGTGAAATAATATAAAGACTTTGATTTATTTGCGACCTATTGCATTCATAGTTGGTATGGTATTATTTACAAACATCTTATAATATTCATGGACAAAATGACGTATTGTTTTTATGCCAATTTTTTTTTATAGTCAACTACCGTATTGTATCAAATATCTCACATGGCAATTGTGCGAAAGGGACACACCAAGAAAGAAGATGTCTCACTTGAGCTCAGATCTCTAAGGAGATATTGGTTATTTAAAAAGTATTTTATTGCTATTCATTTAACGTTCATTTTGATATGTCAAAATAATTGCAGTGAGCTTTCCAGTTGTACGAAGTACTTATTAATTCCATGTAACGCATAGAAACCTAGCCCGCACACGCTAAGTGAGGCAAGTTAGAGGGTTCCAAACGCGTCCCAGGAGCGCGCGGGCTGTTAGTGCTCAAGGTCATATTGCACCGCGAACAGCTCCAAAGTTTTTTGCTAAAAATGACGAAATGTGCGGTAAATGGGTGTAAAAATACAACAGACAAACATAAAATAGACACTAACATCGCATTCCACAAGTAAGTAATGCGTTTCAACTCATATTTTTATGTAAATATTCACTAAAACAGAAAAATAATTTCGCGGCAACAAGATACGAAAGTGTTGCAAAGTAACGAATTTTTTTTCTCCCCATTTTGCTATTCTGTATCAAAATAATTATATTACGTAAATTTTAGTGGTGCCTGTAATTTAGATTTATTTGCGCATCTTGAACTAATATTTACTTTAATAAACATTAAATGTTTTCGTTAACTCCTGTAAGTGATTGGGACACTTAATTATTTTATAATACTTTTAACGGCTCTGCGTTCATGCTTTATTGAATAATTATTTATTTTAATTTTATTTGAATTGGAGCACATATTGCAACAAATTTACAGTACTTGTATATTTGTTTCTACTATAGTGTTGGCACCACCAGTACAACTTTGATAGCTTATTATATGTCTTTCTTTTCGTAACTCAAGCGAAATATTTTATATTAAAATATTTTATTTTCTTAAAAGGGGAGCATTCTTAAGCGATTTTTTAATCTATTTTAACAGTTATTTTCTTTAATGTTTGCTTATGGCATTTTCGGTTTTAGGTTTCGAATATGGCACTTATTTCTAAATCCAAGATGCGGGCGCGATTTTTCGAATAATGGCAAGTTGGGTATCGTTTTCGAGATGTTTGGGAATGTTCAATACAAATATGGCACTCATTTCTAAATCCAAGATGGCAAACACGACAGTTCAAACAAAAGCAATATTCGTAATGAGCACCCCCAAATACCTCGAAAACGATACCCAACTTGCCATTATTTGAAAAATCGTGCTCGCCATCTTGGATTTACAAATAGTGCCATATTCACATTGAGCATCCCCAAATACCTCGAAAATGATACCCACATAGCATTTTTTTGAAAAAATCGTGCCCGCCATCGTGGATTTAGAAATGAGTGCCACATTCGTAATGAGCACCCCCAAGTACCTCGAAAATGATACCCATATTGCATTTATTTGAAAACTCGTGTCCGCCATCTTGGATTTAGAAATGAGTGCCATATTCGTAATGAGCATCCCCAAATACCTCGAAAATGATACCCATATTGCATTTTTTTGAAAAAATCGTGCCCGCCATCTTGGATTTAGAAATGAGTGCCATATTCGTAATGAGCACCCCCAAGTACCTCGAAAATGATACCCATATTGCATTTTTTTGAAAAATCGTGCCCGCCATCTTGGATGTAGAAATGAGTGCCATATTCGTCATGAGCATCCCCAAGTACCTCGAAAATGATACCCATATTGCATTTATTTCAAAACTCGTGTCCGCCATCTTGGATTTAGAAATGAGTGCCATATTCGTAATGAGCATCCCCAAATACATCGACAAGGATACCCATATAGCATATTTTGAAAAATCGTGTCCGCCATCTTGGATTTACAAATAAGTGCTATATTCGTTTTTCATCGACAAAACCGAGCACATCTGTAGGCACCTGATCGACAATGTCGGGCAAATCTGTAGGCACCTTTAACTTAATGATGAGTTAAGCAAGATACAATTTCCCCACTTTTGAGGGAAATGTTATTCCATGGCATCATTATTTGTATATTTGTGTGCGTGCCGACGAGCGTAGTTACAAGTTGCTTACGCCTACATGAATTTGGTTTTTGCCTCACTTGTGACAGTTCGTTTGATATGAAACTATCATTCTATGCGTTATTATTCTAAGGTCGGAACATGATTACTATCACCATGACTCAAGAGGACTGCTAAACGCGATACAAGACGAGTGTTTTATAAACCCCAATTATGTGACATGCCTTTTGTCTTCCACATTCCTATAGTTTGAACTAATACAAATGCGAGAGTAGAATACCGATGTAAAAAATATGTGTAGTTTCAGAAAAAAAAAATTGAAAATGGCGTAATTTTCGCCCGGCGAAACATGATTCATAGTTTATAATGCTTGAAAAATAGTGGCCAACCGACTTAGTCGTTCAATAAAATCATAAATGACATACTTTGTAAACTAATCGGCAACAACAAAGGTTCATTCGTTACGAAGTTATTTGATTTTATTTTATTTTTCGTTTGATTTTTTTTATTATTATGTTTACACCAGCGCTGCAGCGATTGCTTTAGGGCGCAATTGTTCGACTCGAATTTCATCGCGCTCACCCCGCGCGGTCGAAGAGCGGAGTCCGCGCTGCCGCCGCGCGGCGACCGCGCGCGTCTAACTGTCATGGCAAAATACGCTCTATTTTTTTTAGCCTTTACGTTTTAATTTAAATGAGCGTTCCGGACACGCGGGCTTACCTGGCTTGAATTTGGACCTCGCGGCGGCCGGCCGGCAGCGGCAATTTTATTGAGAGGAATTTAAATGTTGTTGCTTAATAAATATAATTCAGATTCGCCATTAATGTACATGAAGGCGTGGTAACTGGGCGGACGCCGCGCGACGGCCGCGCGATAACTTTCTTCTCGTGTAACTGGGCGCTTAAGTCTTCTACATACACTAAAATTATCATGAACTATTCCATGGATTATTGCATCGGCATTGATTTTTAATTTTTTTTATCAGGGTTGTCACGTTTAATATCCGGTAATTTACCTTAGATCTTTAAAAAAAGCTCTCAATTTTTTTTTTCATTTTGATCTAACTACGAATAATCTGTCACACAGCTTTGGGATGAAAAAATTGTTTTAAATTTTATCAGCGATGCCTGTAGTATTTTTTGTACTGTAAAAATTTGTAATTCCATTTGTAGGTAAAACTCACACATTAAGTTTACACTTTCAAAGCTTTTCTGAGATACGCACAAACTACATTTTTTAGTATTTAAAATCTATTTAATATTAAATTATCACATACTTACGTTTCTTGCAACCCATAGGTTTCAAATGTAAATGTCAAGACACAAAATCAGATAAAGCCCAAAGTAACACAAGTTTTCGTAAAATTTAGTTATGTTTAATCTCTCAGTTGGAGATAATGTCTTAAATATCTTGAATTATTTTCTGGAACATCTACTGGAATCTATAGTAGTTTAATCTTTATAGTGTCTAACCTATATCAACATTGTTGTTCCAGGCAATAACGGAACTACAGTACGATTGGGACGAACCAACGCAAGGTCTCATTCTAAGTTCATTCTACTACGGGTACATTGTAACGCATCTACCAGGCGGATTGCTCGCCGAGCGTTTCGGCGGCAAATATTCGCTAGGATTCGGTGTGCTTAGTACTGCAGTATTTACTTTGTTGACGCCATGGACGGTGAAAATTGGAGAAGCTAAAGGGCTGATTGTGCTACGAGTCTTAGAAGGTCTTGGTGAGGTACGTACCTAATTTAGTAGGTTTGTTTACAGCACTTCTTAAATGTGACAAGTACGTATGCTTAAAACACGAAAAATCAGCCCACTACTACTATTATTAATTAGTACCATAGTATATAATAAATAAGACATGTATGGTAACTCCATAGAAACATAACACCGCGCTTGTATGTATGCACGCCCACCACGCGCAGTGTTTGGACGCACATGTTTGCATAATCTCGCGGCGCTCTCGCATTACACAGCGCGGGTTGTTACACCGCCATTATTTCTAGAATTGAGGCGATGCGATCGGTGTTCAATAAATTACATCAAATAGTAGACGTGGTTATTGTCGTGTTTATGGTAGTTTGAATAAGAGTACCTCAAATCAGAAATGTACAAGCATTTCATTTTAATATAATCATATTCATAATTAAGATACGAATCCACGAAGCTGGTATAAAAATATCCATAAGTACGTATTGGTTCATAGTACAAAAATATTAATATTAATACTTACGCATTGATATTTCAATATCTTATCTAATATAACAATATATTTTATTATTATGCATTTAACCAAGGTTAAAGCATACTGTTAAGTGCTGTACACGTGCAGTCTGTGAGTCGCGTTTTCGCGGCGGACATTCAGCGACCTACGTGTCCAATACAATAACGCATTCTGAGTGCTGATGGGGCTTGCTGTGGAGGTATAGAGCATCGGGGATGTTTGTCGAGGCTCAGACATGGCCATCGTGAGGAAAAGGTGTGCATCTGCGCTGGTGCGCCTCCGTGGGAGCTCCAACAGCATCCTGTGTGTGTTCACAGACTCGCCACATTTAATTGTAGCTGTATTGTCCGTTAAAATTAAATAATACTACATGGATACTACATAAATACTATACTGATTTTTATTTGAAATATTTTTTTTATTGAATTGAATTGAATTTCAATATACTTAGCACGCACGAGAATACTGTAATGAACACCTTATTTTTTAAATTATGTTTATAACCTGTAAGTAAAACTAAAATAATAATGTGACAGCCCTATGCTTCGAGGGAAGTGTAGGTATTTACGCGGCGAACAATCGGGAGTTGCTTTACTTGTTGTTATTAGACCTACTATAGTAGTACTGGCTGTGTAATTTGGCAAATGCCAAATCGACTTGAAAACGGCACGAGAATAACTATGTACGTCCCAACATACGTAAAATATCCATAATTGTAATGCTTAGGTCTTCGACACAATTTCTACTTAATATGGTAATTTGTGTGGATATTTTTCCACAAGAACCTTCTAAGAAAACTTTTTTCCAGGGTACAACATTCCCAGCACTCAACGCAATGCTGGCCCGATGGGCACCAATAAGCGAACGTGGAAGAATGGGATCTTTGGTCTTCGGAGGAGCACAGATTGGCAATATTGCAGGCACTTATTTGTCTGGTCTAGTGATGAAGAATACAGGGGATTGGCAGCCTGTCTTCTATCTCTTTGGAGCTTTGGGATTGCTTTGGTTTATTCTTTGGGTAAGTTTACCGTAATTATCTAAATCTATATATTAACCAATGAGACGTGATGATTGTAACACGCTGAGGATGAGATTATTCAGCTAAGTTTTATTGGGGTTTAAATGTGTCATGTGGTTGTAGATAAGTTCTCTTTTACTTTGTAGAAGTCGGGTTTTAATTACGATTCTGTTCATTGTCCAAATCTTGACATTGTTTCGTAATGTAATGTTTTTTACATTGTTTAGGGCAAAGCTATAAGTTTGACAAATCCAATTAAGTTTAAATACTTACGTACCGTGCCTACATAAAAAACATAGTTAATTTACCGACAATTTCCAGGCGCTGCTCTGCTACAACGACCCGGAATCTCATCCATTTATCTCAGACAAAGAAAAGAAGTACCTAGAAGAAGCTCTTGGCACACATCGGAGTAGTCAGCCATCAGCCATACCCTGGAAGGCCATTTTTATGTCTGTTCCGCTTTGGGCTCTTGTTTGCGCGCAGGTAAGCATAATCCTTGATACTCTTTTTATTAACTGAACAGGAAATAAGTCAGCTAAGGCTCAATTTACATTATGACGGAGCGGAATGGGACGGAAGCGTCAATTTCCCCTCGCTGTCGCTGGAACGCTCGAGCATTCGCGATTGCTTTGAGGTTGTGTGTAGTATTTCGTCGACCCTTGACGTCACACTGCGCCTGGTTTCGCGTCAATTCCCGCGTATTCGCCAGGCGTCACCGTCTGTGATTTTTGGTATCTAGTTTCTGCGTTACAGAATTGACCATAAAGTTCATTGTACAATATCGTTACAACAATTCGCTACCATTCCATTCCACCGCCATATAAATTGAGTCTAAGTATGTCTTTAGATGTATAAGTTAGTGATCCATCAAATAGTGGTGGTAGCGACGATGGGCAGAAATTTGTTTCCACGGTCAATGTAGTTACAACGCAATCGTTATAGAACTTAAAACCAAAGGAATAAAATTTATGTTTGCATACAATTATGAAGATATGCTTATATAACATCATGTGCCTACTTACAATACTTTTTAAGAAAACCTGTATTAGTCAGCTGTGTATACGAATTAGTATAATATTTCAAATAATATGATCTGTAGCGAACCATACAGTACTTAAAGCAACTCACCGGAGGAGAAGCGGGAAAAACTGATTTGCTAGATCAAATTGTTCAGGTATTTACCTACTATCAAATAACGATCTTACGAAAAATATACGGTACACCTAAGGATATTGTCCAAATAGTGTGATTTGTTACACGATAGGTGTACTTTATCCGATCATATAAAATCCTGAAATCCTGAAAAATATAGGCTAAAATAAAAGTCCGAAACGATTATTTGTACATAATTTTTGTATTACTCATACATTTCTCTTTAAATACTACCGAGAACCTGCAAAAATTTTGGTTTTCAACTGAAGCCCAATACTTCTTAAATTCATATTTGTCCTAAAATTTTCAAATTAACCTTTATCCCGTTAGTCGCCATCAGGCGCTTGTCGACGTCGGATCTGTGTCAAATTTTCTTCGCCTGTTATTATTTTAGTCATGTTAATTTTCATCGCGTGGATTACGGGACATTTTCGCTTATAAGTAAGATATACCTTACGTCAACTATTTCTTTTTTCTGCAGATTGGTCACGACTATGGGTACTTCACAATGGTAACCGATCTTCCTAAGTACATGACAGGAGTGTTGAAGTTCGACATTCATAGCACTGGTTACCTATCGGCGTTACCTTACGCTGTTATGTGGGTGTGCTCCATATTTTTTGGCTACGTTTGCGACAAAATTGTCAAGAAGAACTGGATGACTGTTACTAATGCTAGGAAGACGTTTACGACTGTTGGTAAGTATTTTGATAAAATACATAAAATCGTTTCAAGAATCTATCATCAAAATTATCCTTACACGATTAACAATATCAAAATTTGTAATATTAAAAAAAGTTCAGGCACGGTATGCCGAAAACGCTGGTTCGAAGAAGAAGGGGAATCTTTATATTAATAATAATATCAAAATCATGGAATATAGCACAACTATAAACTTTTCTCATACAACTAAGTTCTATCTGCTTTTTTCAGCGTCGGTAGGTCCAGGTATCTGCATGGTCCTAGCTTCATACTCCGGTTGTGACACAACGACAGTGATCATTCTCTTCACGGCGTCCATGGGTCTTATGGGAGCTTTCTATCCGGGAATGAAAGTCAATGCCCTAGACCTGAGCAACAACTACGCGGGAACGATAATGGCCATTGTTAATGGTATTGGCGCCGTTGCTGGCATCATTGCTCCTTATTTGGTTGGCCTTTTGACTACTAACGTAAGTTTGTTTTCTTTGTCAGTTTTTTTCTACAAAATTGTTCTTCTTATTCTGGTTATACGACTTTTAAACGTTGATTGTTAGTTAGAATTGGTTTTTCTTTAGCTTCTCATTTTTCTTTTTCGTTGAAATGAATGCCCACAATCGATAAAAGTTAGTAATTGTTCACAAGTACCGTGACATTTTTGAAGGGTTTTTCCTAGTTCAATAGCCTATGAATCAGTGGACCGTTTTTCACGGCTTGTGCGGCAATCTCATTTAATGTACTCGTACCTATAGAAAAAGCGTTTTGGAACGAATTGCATAAAACGTCATATCGCAATCCAAGGCCGTGTTACGAATTATGAATAGCCAACCTACTTATACCGACTAAGATATATGATTCGCTAATTGCTGTTCTTCGACTTTTATACACTTGACTTTCTAGTTTGCCTGAATAGGCAATGACGCAAAAATATCCTCAGGCAGATAAACTTTACTCTGTCGTTTTTTAAGACGGAGTAAAATTACATTCGTAGGGTACGTTGCTAGTTTTCATTAAATTTTGAATAGTTATGTAGTTGTTGTCGACGCAGCGTGAGCGCGATGAAATTTGTGTCGAATATTTATTCGTGCCCTAACTAATACTGTCAAACTAATCAAATCAGAAACAGAACTTTTCTGAAAATTTGTTACATAACGTTATAAGTTACCCTATTTTATGTATGATAAACATAAACAGGCGGGGATATATACACGTCTTCTGTTCTGGGTACTTTTTAGGCCATTCTAAAATTCTTAAACACATGTAACATTATTATTAATTGAACAATGTACTTACTAATAGCGTACTAATTTCCACAGAACACACTCGAACAATGGCACATAGTCTTCTGGATAGCGCTGGTGGTGTTCATCGTCACCAATTTGGTATTTGTGGCGTGGGCGTCCGGAGACGAACAATGGTGGAATAGCACTTCGCAAGATCCTAAAAAGGCACAAGAAGCCAACGTAAATCGGTCAATTAATGCTGAAATTAAGTTATAAACCACAATATCGAAGTGAACGTTAAACTTCGATGGGAAAAAGGTAATTTCAAGGCGACATTGAAATCTGTAAAGATTTTTATATACTCTGTGGAAAGAGGTATAGAAATTACTATAACGCTATATGAAACTATCGCGCGATATTTATGAAAATCGTGTTCCTGTTTGAAACTGTATCTACTTACTAAAAGATCATAAAGATTAATGTCTAATAGGTACAAGTAAATTTAATCTATTTAAAGCCCACTTGCTGTTGACTGTTTAAATAATAGAGTTAATTTCACACTTTACATTAAGCTATAAAACTATTAAATTAGAGCATACTCTAAGTACTTTTATCAGAGCAGTATATCACGCCTATTCTTTAAATATCTATAGAGCATGTTCACTACTTACTACCATTTTGATATGTGTAGGCAGAGATGATATTCTTTTAAGACAAAGCCTAGTTTTAGGTGTTTTTTACCTGAACTCCGGTTTTGTAACGTCTACCTGGATTTTGTCATCTAACGGATTTTTCGTCTTAAGAGACAATTTTCAGAATAAAAATGGCAGAAGCGTCAAAATATTTTAATTCCAAAGCTGACGTTATCACACACGCAAAATGTGCTAAATACAGAACAAATTAGTCTAGATAATTATTAATCTTTGTCAAAAATCAAGACGAAATGGTTAGTGAGCAGGTGAGTATACGGTCCGCATGCACCCTCCACCATCGATATCGCTGCCGTGACAGGTTTTCGATTTTACTTTGTTACTTTTGTAGGTAACATATTCTATATAAAAAGGGAGCAGTAACTTAAACAAATAAATTGATATTTTTTATGTAAAGAAGTAACCCGAAAAAAGTACAACTGTTTAGCGACAGCCAGTGTTATGTGATAGTAAAAATAATTGGTAACAAATACAATAAAATTAGTAAGAATTTATTAGTTCTAATTATTCCAGATTATAAATTACGATAATTTATTTTCAAATTATCGTATGTTACTCGTATTCCTTATTCCTATTGTGTGTATAAGACTAGTTTATAAGGGTCAAAGTGTAACACCGGGTTTTCTGAATATATATCTAAAATTACACATTGATTGGTTTTCTAGGATAGTGGCCTATTTCAAAAGCATCATCTCATCTCATTCACAAGGAAGATGGTTTAAAATCTGGGATGAGTGTGTCGCGCAAAGTTTACATATTGTAGACCATTCCAATGCCATTATACGATTATTGTAACCAATGAAAAGCTCGTTGACCCGTTAACAATAAAATTTTGCATTTTCTGAACAAATTTCAGTAATAAGTAAAACGGAAGTATTTTGGATTGGGCCACTATTTTTGGAAAGCAGTGATATGTACCTACATCAAAAGTAAATAGATAGGTACTATAGTTACAAAGGAATCGTCTTGTATAATCTTAAAAATTTTTAGAGATATTCAAATAAAAAACACATATTTTTGCACAAAACAATTTATTAATTACTTTAATATTTTTTTAATAAACCGCTTAATAATTTTAAAAAATGTAGAGTAGTGGTATTGTTATTTCATTATAATGTGGTATTGCTATAAAGACATAAAACCTATTTTTAAGACTGGTTACTGAATATTGTTGAAACTATGACTAAACAATAATACGATTTAAACATTTCCTAGTTAGGTAACCATTTTCTCTATTTTTATTGTTAATAATGCCGTTGTTTAGCATAAGCATAGTACAATAAATGAAGTAATGATAACGTCATACAAATGTAGCAGCGCGGCTTGTATACGTTCGCCGTGCTTCGTGTACCGACGCACACATTCGCATAATAATGAAAAGTGCGTGACACGACCTATATGCCACGCGAGCTTATGCGAATGTGTGCGTCCGTACACGGCACGAGACGCGCGCGCAAATATACAATCCGCGCTGCTACGTTTGTATAGATTTACCATACTTGTTTTATTATACTATGTCATAAGAAAGCAACAATAAAAACAATTCCTGAATCTACCCTGGTACACACGGGTTACACAAATACCCATTGTTATGTACATATTAGAGTTGTATAGTTAGTGTAAAAAGTATTATACACGAATAAATGAATCTGCAAGTAATTGTTAATATCAGAGGCACTATTCAAAATATATTATTTTGTTCACTTCGTATCGAGTTTCAAATTAAATAAAAAAGGCTGTGAACAAAGTATTATATATACTTTAGCACATATTTGTTTTACAGAGTGTATTGTGCCATTTGAAAGATCTGTATACATAATGTATTTAAAGATTAAAAGCTGTGTATTATATGTGCGTGTGGTTATTATTAAGTGATAAAAATATCTCAAATAAATTAAATGACTTTTGTACAATAATACTATTGTATTTTGTTAAAATAAAATAAAAACCAATTTAAATGCGTTTCATTTTTTTATTTAATAAATAACAAAACATAAATAACATAATATATATAACATTAGAGAAAGTTAAAAAAATCAACAAATTGTATAAAACATATTAATAAAATAGTAACCGCTTATTGTTAGAGCGGCTTAATTGTCAGATACCGACCACAGATTGCGTTACGTTGCTTTAAGTACAAGACATTTTGAAAAACGCAACATATCAGAATTGAGAAAAATACTATTAAGTATCTTACATACAGATAATTTATATAAATAAAAATGGTAATAAACATACGGTACAGTCTGTACCTCTATAGTACAGTGCAGAAATTATATTTATTTCATCTAGTTTTTTTTTTCGTAATTTTTTTATACAACAAAATGATTTCACTTATGCGAATTGACGATGGGCTTTGCGTAATTGATGTTTTACTTGTGTGACATTTAAAATTTTTAACCGAATTCAAGAAAAGGAGGAAGTTCTGAATTCGACTTTTTTTGTGTAAATTAAGTGAGCTGATGTCGATGATATCGACACGTTCGTCTGTAGTGGTCTCATTCAAATTTGGAGAAATATTCCACAACGTGTGACAAATTGTCCTTTCACAAATTCCACTTTCCTTTAACCGATTTCAATAAAACTTGGCAAATAGATGTAACTCCACAAATTTTTGAGGTCAGTTTTTTTTATAAAAAAAAGTTATAATAACATGTTCAATGAAGGGTGGGAGTCATTTTCAAAATGAGTGTAACTTAACCGGTCACATTATACCTTATAAGGAAAGACTGTGGTAGAAATAGCAAAGGTATTTTACAAATTAATAAAACAAATAAATTGCACATAGATAGTTCCTTTTAGTACAACACGGAATAAGCTTGGCACATAACGTCATGTTTAGTTATACTAGTAGACATCGAAATAAGAACATCACATGTTTATATAATTTAATATCCTATGACGTTTATATTGGGTACTAAATGTGGTTCTAAGTTCTAAACAAGCAAAATTATTAAGAATTACTTTTATTAACAACACGAATATAAATCGGATATGAAAGTATTGTTTCCGGATTATAAAAGTGGTATATTTGTTTTTTGAATCAAACAATGTTCCGGGTTCTTTACAAATCGTGGATAAACGTAGTGCCAGCTTTCCTTATGGTGCAGGGTGCGCGGTGCTCACGGGCGCAGAGTCTCTAGTTGTCGTGCTTAGGATAAGAACAGTAAGTCTATATGAATTTCAAACATACTTACAGTTAATATTGTAAGCACGGCGGATTGCTTTCCAACATCATTTATAATTGCAATATTTTTTTGCACCCGAATTTACCATCACTAGGAAAACATAACTATAAGTATACCATTTTGATCGCGTGCTTACTTGAAGGCGTCATTGATTGTACCCGGGCCGGGCTGTTTCGGGCTATTTATAATTTTCGCGTGATCACAGCTGACTGGTGAAAGCCCAAAAACGTGGGTTTCTTTGAAAAAACAAATAAATTCGATTACAAATCCGGAAAAAATAGTTTAATTTGCAATGTATAGAAATGGTGAAGACTGGATACTGGTCATAAGTCAAATAGAAATAATCTAACCAAAGACTACTTGTGTATCATATACACTTATGTATCATTTATTAGGGCGCCTTAAAAACGTTTGCAGAAGCGCTGCAGTGGTGCGACTATGGCACGGTAATCTCGCGTGTGTAGCACTTCAGTAATGTTTAATTCACCGATTGTGACTGCAAAAGTAGCGCCTGCCACGACTGTGGCGCTGTAACTGCGCTATGTTGCTCTAAATATTGTATGAAAGTTAGTAGTGGCGCAGCTGTAGCGCCATAGTGGTGCCAGTGCACCGCTTCTATAAGCGCATAATTTGAAGACACCCTAATCATAATAAATACATATAAATATCATCGTTTATTAATTAAACGCTGCAACATATTAGGGATATTATTGGAATAAAATAAGTCTGATCAGAAAAAATATTTGTTCTTCCTACCATTTATTTTATTACTTGTCTTTCTTACATAACCATTCTTCCCTGTTTCCTGACCAGACTTTTAGGTAGTATACTAACTTTTGGAATGTATATGTAGAAATGTATATACAAGAAAATGTATGAGCCTTACTATCAAACGGTGTTTAAAGTTAACATTGGTGTGTGTCGATTCTTTGGTATACATTTTTTCAATTATACTGATCTAAAGATATTGCCATTCCTTACAGTCTCTATTAGTTTAAAAGGGACAACAATATTTTAAACATGTCAAATCAGATTAGATGAATTGGTGGATCACAGGGATGACATTATAGGTTCACAACAAGGTTCACGGCTATTCCACCAGTTAAAAGTCGCTCAGCGAGCTATGGAACGAGCTATGCTCGGAGTTTTTTGAGGGATAAGATTCAAAATGAGGTTGGCGATGGGTAACCAAGGTCGTCGACATAGCTGGTGGAATTGACGCGTAGTGTAGCGTCCTCTGAGCAGGTGAATGCGTTAACACGTCACATTGCGAGAGACCTATGTCCAGCAGTGGACTGCGATAGGCTGATAATAATGGTGACTAGTTTCAGTCTGCGACTACGCGTTTAAAATAAAAAAGTACCCATGTGTAAAACATCAATTCGCCAATGTGTTCTATTTATACCCGTTTAGCCTAGAGATAGGCAATGGGTTTTCTTATTTTATTCCATATTTGTACCGTATCAAAGACGCGATGCTATTGGCCTACATTTTGCCTTTGACAGTATGTACAGTGTTTGGTAAATTACATGTGAGTGTGTTGAGAGTATGTGAGAGATATCTGTAAGAGGAGTGTTTATTAAAAATACTACCACTTAATACTAAATCCTGAATACTTATTATATTATATTAACCCAAGGAACCCATCCGGTTTTACCCGGGTTTTTGCCCAAAGGGGTTTTAACCCATTTCTCCCCAAAATCGTGGGCAGAAACGGCGAATACAGAATTTGGTATAATTCCATACTTGTTACAAATTTCGATGTAATAAATCTTTTTAGACGAAAAAGAGGCAACTCCACACAACACTCACCTTGCAATCCTGTGGATGCTCACTACTAAGGATGCACATTACATTTCGATTTATATGAAAATCGATTCAAGTTCCGATCTAACGATTTTTTGTATCGATTTATTTCAATGCGATTTTCAAGCCAATCGATTGAACAGAGAGGCAAATCGAATCGTCTTAAAATAAACAAATTTTTGTAATAAAAACATTCAATTTGAACAAAACTCTATTTACAATACATTATTTAGTTATGAACAGTTTTTGTCCTCGATCTGAGGCGGTAATAGTTTTAACCTGATTTAAATCAACGTTAACAAAATCGGGCTAAAAACTGGGCGTTTGCCCATCTCTGGTTTAGCCTATCTACCTATCTACCTACCTTTATCATTATTATCGTCAAGCCATTGGTAGTCTCAGGCACTACGCTGACCCAATGCACCTTTATAGCGAGATGACACTTTTGTTATGACAACCTTAAATACGTAAAAGCATTTGTTTTCAACACCGTTATGTAGTACATCATTGTTCACCGTAGCTTTGCACCAAATATGGGTTTCAAATCGTGGTAAATATGTATTGCCTTTATAATCCACGTTACAATCTATAACACAGCAAATCTTTACGCTTATTGTACACTATTTTGAAGTCCTAAAGTCCGCATAAACCAATTAAGAATAGGCATTAAGCTTCACTATTATCAATTTGAACACACTCTACGTTATAGGTAAAAATTACATATTTATTACATCGGACAAAAAAAAAACTCGGAAGGAAATAAAATTGTACCTAAATATACGTACTCCATTGTAATATTGTCACATTTAGCACGAATATTACAGCTTTGAACAGTCATGGTTGTGTAATGAGAAGAAAAAAGGCCCGAAGGTTTTATTTGGGGCGTTATAGTCAAGTTAGCCTGCATGCAATCATACTATTTACATGCAAGTGTGATGAAAAAGTTATTTACTCACTACATAATATCAGATTTGCTTACCCCATGTCGTGAATAATTTTTTTTAATCAAAATAATAACTTACATTCATCATTTTTGCAAACTAATGTACATTAAATAATCCAAAAATTACATTATAAATATATTCATATAGTAGAATGTCGAATAATGACACTAATTCCTAGCAAGCTTCTCATTGACAATAGACAAGTCTTCTCTGAGTTGTCAATTTATCCGAATAAAAGGGGTAAATACATCACGCACATATTTTGTAACTTGTGACTTTTGTGAATAAGAGAAAAATTTAACTTGCGCGAGTTTCCAATGTTAAGTCTGCTAATCATAACCTAGGAAATTTCATAGACTAAAGCAGAGAAAAAATACTTTCGTTTTTACTGTGTAACATAAGGGTCTCAGGGTGCTGTATGGTCATTTATAGGTCAGGTTTGAAATTTTTATTTACAAATATGACCGATGTAACCACATAATTGTTAAGCATATAGCAACAAGCCGCTTTAAAACTAGAATATCGATATTTTATACTAGATCATTTTATTATAAGGAGGAGGCTTACTTGGCTCCGAGGAGCCGCAAAAGTTAAACGCCACATGCATGTTCTTTTAGTAAAGTGCATTTCGACTACATATAGGCATAGGTAAGATTTTCATTATGGTAAATCTTTTTGAAGAATATACCATTTGCGTGTACAAATGTTTGAGACATCGAGTATATAACCAGAAATAGAGACGAAATGTCATTTAATTTCTTTGAAAACTATTCTGCCATATAATTATTGTGACAACTGCGCTCCGATTGGCCAGCCCGAGTTCGAAACAGTTGACGGGTGTCGTCAACTGTTTCACTTCAGATCGACTAGTTGACTTGAGCTTTGCTATAATGGACGAAAATTGCAAAATTACTTTTAATATTTAATTATCGATGAAATGTGATTTCGTTTGTTTTGTAATTAGATGTTTTTCTGTTTTTCCCACACCATCAAATAGAACAGCATGGCTTTGTTAGAGATATCGAGTTCTTAGGTTTTTGCGATTGTTACAAATAGGAAATGAAACTATTTTTCCGGATTTAAATCGCGTATATTTGTTTTTTCAAAGGTTTGTTTGTTAGAGATGTTATCTTTGTTATCTTTAAATAAAAATATTTTTTGGAATATACGGAGACGTACACACAGGTCAGCAGTTGGCCTGTCTATATTTCATTGCAAACGAAAGTTGATATTTATAAGAACTGTATCGCTAATGTGTTAGCAGGAATATATGGCCCTTATTTCGTCTCTATTACTGGTTATAGACTCGATGGTTTGAAATGTTAAACGGTTACTTAATTCGGTTTTTGCTCTAAAATAAGGTCATACCTATAGATCTGGACTGCCAAAATGCAGTTTATTAAAAGTCGCATTCTTAGCGCCTTTGCACTTTACACGCCTCCTCCTTCGAAACTTCAGAATAATTCCATAACCGATGCTGGTGATGCAGTGTCACGGAGATCTGTTCTTTGTTGCAATACGCGTAAGGCTTCATGTGGCAGAATGTGTCTGATGCCCTGATTGGCGAGTGTTTCGGCGCAGGTTGCTGTTTGCTTGGTAAGGAAGGAGCGAAGTCGACGCGCGTCGTCGTAGTCTAGATTTAGGAGCTTGCATGCTTCTACTAACCTAGTAACAAGATGGTAAAAAAGTATAAGTGAGTTAGGATTCATGTGAACAACATGTATACGTACTGCCGTCCTTTATCATAAACAACGAATTGTTAACCCCCAATAAACGTTTTTTTATACGTTTCTCACGCGGGTCTGGCACCATGACCTGTATCTTCTAGTTTGTAGTGTAGCTTTGAGAGCCCTGATGACGTCCTTGTAGAGGTTTATTATTAAATTTCTAGACGTATTAGGTACGGTAGCTTCGACATTTTGAACTTTTCCACAAAAGTGTGTGTGATGTATGTGCACGTTACAACGGCATCGTTATAAGAAATTGTATTTATAATTTAGTATGGAGTGATACATGATGAGAGATAGCACGTACATTTGGTTCGGGAACTGTTATATATGTATAGCGGGAGGGTACGCGACCACTAACAAAGCCAGTTCGTTGCACACTGGTTTATTAACAATCGGTTAATGTTAAGACGGGGCGCAGCCCGCACACATGCACACACAAATATACAACATCCCTTCCCCTTATAAGTAGTTAAACACATAACAAAATCCGACTCAGAATACTCTACAGATGCACTACATTCTAATCACTTAAGTCCACATCTTGTTCCGAATTGGGTGTGGCGAATACCGGGCTTATTGCCTGTCTTCGGTGGCCAGGGGCGTTCGCCCACAATGGTGATGGTGGTGTGATTGGGCATTCAGTTTGCCTGGTTTCTACCGCACCGAAACCGGTGTCCGCTGCTACACTCCCTTCCCTATTCGTTCGTGTAAATGTCTGAGCACCTGTTCCGTGAACCGGCGTCGTTTTCACGGAGCCACTGGAGTCTCTCTCCGGAGGTTCTGCAGGTTTTGGTGCTACACCTGGAACGACGTCGCAGTTCCATTGTTGATCATCCATTGATATTTCGTTAGTATGTTCTCTTATTTGGTCGATGTGCCGTGTGACTTCGCAGTTGAGTTGCGGCACAAATATTAAGTACATTACATTTCCGATTTTTTTCCTTATTATACCGCTAATCCAACATATTTTTTTAATTTGTAAGCCAGACTTTGTCATTTACTGCGAATTCAGGTCTCGCGGTTCCCTTATAGGCTTTTCTCTGGAAAGACTGATTACGTTCCACGGTTTCAAGAAGGTCTGTGGGCGGAGGTGACGGGACGGTAGGGTTAATTAAATCTAATCTGGTACGCAAAGAGCGTCCGTAGTCTAATTCCGCGGGCGATTTGTCTGTGGTGCCGTGTTTAGAGTTCCTATAGTCGAAAAGAAATTTAGCAATTTTTTCCTGCACTAGTTTTTTATTCGGACTACTTAACTCTTTAGGCCTTTTTTTACAATTTTAACGAAACTTTCAGCTCTTCTGAATTCCTGTGACGTGAAAGATGTACCGTTGTCAGTCACCAATGTATGCAGTAATCCTACTCGCGACATCAACTCATACAATCTTTCCATAACCGCCTTGGAACCATAACTTGTATTCATATTGTAACATTCAACCCATTTACTATAGGCTCTAATAGGGCAATATCCACAGCTATTAAAAACATTTGATTGTTAAACGGGCCCAGGAAGTCTAGATGAACCCGATAAAACGGATGCGGCGGCAGCGGCCAAGGCGCAAGCGGCGCGCGCGGCAGCACTGGACGCAGCGCGGCGCACACGGCGCAAGCGCCCGCCAGCCTCTCCAGCGCCGCGTCTACGCCGGGGAACCACAACCGTTTTCGCGCCTCCGCTTTCATTTTAACAATTCCGAAATGAGAACTGTGTAATTCTTTGCAAATAATGTTTCGCAATGCCGCAGGAATAACAACTTTATGACCGCGCATCAAACAACCGTTTTCATACGATAGCTGTAGACGACAGTTAAAATAAGCTTTTAAATCTAAATCACCTATCTTTTTGGCCATCCTTGTAAGACATAACGCTTAACTTGACTTAGTAAGGCATCGCGCTCAGTTTCTAGCTGCAAATCGCTCAAAGTTACCGGTAGGCTGCCCTCCAATACAAGGTTGATATAAGCCGCGCTCTCCTCGCCCTCGGCCCCGCCCCGCGCGTCACGCGCAGGCTCAAAAGTGCACCTCTGTGAATTGAGGGATTGTAACCATGGATCGTGTGATCCGTGCTCAGCGTAAAGGTGCCGGTTCAGTGTTCGTATCACACACTAAGAAAAGGAAAGGAGCGCCTAAGCTTCGTTCTATGGACTATGCAGAACGTCATGGTTACATCAAAGGCGTGGTGAAGGACATCATCCACGACCCAGGCCGTGGTGCTTCATTAGCGGTAGTCCACTTCCGTGACCCATATAAGTTTAAGACGCGCAACGAGCTATTTATCGCGCCAGAAGGTCTTTACACAGGGTAGTTTGTATACTGTGGAAAGAAAGCTACTCTCGAAGTTGGAAATGTAATGCCTGTTGGAGCCATGCCTGAGGGTACAATTGTCTGCAATCTGGAAGAAAAGATGGGTGATCGTGGTCGGCTGGCTCGTGCTTCTGGCAACTTTGCCACAGTCATCGGTCACAACCCTGACGCCAAGCGCACCAGAGTCAAGCTGCCATCTGGTGCAAAGAAAGTTCTTCCTTCCAGCAACAGAGGAATGGTTGGCATTGTTGCTGGAGTTGGTCGTATTGACAAACCCATCCTGAAGGCTGGTCGTGCATACCATAAATATAAGGTAAAGTGCAACTTCTGGCCATATGTGCGTGGTGTTGCCATGAACCCTGTAGAGCATCCTCATGGTGGTGGTAACCATCAACATATTGGTAAGGCTTCTACTGTCAAGAGAGGAACATCCGCTGGTCGCAAGGTTGGTCTCATCGCCGCCCGCAGGACCGGAAGAATTCGCGGTGGCAAGACCGACACAAAGAAGGAGGCGTAAACGTAGTTTTATGCGAAATAAAAATACTAAAAATCCCATCCTCGTCGCCACGTGTTATATATGTATAGCGGGAGGGTACGCGACCACTAACAAAGCCAGTTCGTTGCACACTGGTTTATTAACAATCGGCTAATGTTAAGACGAGGCGCAGCCCGCACACATGCACACACAAATATACAACAGGAACTTTACAGGAAGTGGCCACGGAATGAGACAAAGCAAAAATGACGAAGAAAAAGAATTAGAGAACGATTCAAATTTTCAAAAGTAAGTGGCCAGGAACCAGATAAAAGGGTGATAAAAAGGTGAGATGACGATGAAAGAGGTCGCAACGTCACACGTTATTTACTTTCAGTTTTATTATGAAATAAAATCAGCGTATTTGATTTTTCAAAGGAAAAAAAACTTTAGATGCCAATATGTCGAAAGATATCAAAATGCAAATGCATTATGACAAGGAGGCCAGTGTAGGTTTGGGTGAATATGTACACAGCAGCAGCGGCAACGTTATTGCGTATTGTGACTGAGACACTCTTCCTGTCTTGTTTGCTTCGTCAGAATATGGAGAAAAAGGGACAAGTATTATTTTTTCACTTTATTGAATGTCACGATGTTTGCCACCATGATATTGAATTATTTTTGTGAAATTACTCCACTAGTTTGTAATAGTTATATTAATACAAAGATGCAACAAGCACATAGGAAAGTGCGCAAGGTCCGTTAGTTCGTTCCGTAGCTTAGTTGGCATAGCGTCTGGCACGGTTTGCTGGAAGACATTGGTTGAAATCCAGTCGGATCGACAAATTTTTTTTTAGTTATCGATCTTTGTATTAATAAGGACAACATAATATATGTCAATGATATATGGAAATCGTTTACGATTCTTTTCTTAAGTTTATTGCCCTTTATTGCTCAATACTTGGCGCTCACTAAATTTCGAAATTAATGTTTATAGTAAAACTCATCGGCTTGCCCTGCTATAGCCTTTCAATTTTGTGTAGGTCATGCATGACACGAACACATAAACTGTACTGCATGGCACCTGACCGATTCCTTACAAGTTCATAGTAGTCTTTCAGTACGTATTACTAGCCCTTTGGCTGTGAGCTAGTCGTGAGCTCATCATTCTAGATAGTGATCTAAATTAAAATTTTATGTGATATCATTATTAAGATACTCATACAATTTTAAACTGAAACAATAGATATATTTTTTTTATAAAAAATAAGTGCGCATTTAACCTCCATCTCACCTGATGGAAAACCTGATGATGAGGTCGAGGATGTAGCATGCATACCTAAATAACGCCTATTCACTCTCGCCTTGAAAAGGTCCAAGTTATAGCGTTCGGGGAACAAGTCTGCAGGCAGGGAATTCCACTCCCTAGCCACTCGCCATACAAATGTGGAAGAGAAACGCTCCGTGCGAATCCGGGGAATATCCACAACATAGGGGTAGAACCCAAGCCTACGACTTGTCCCCCAGTGATGGAAAGGGGAAGGCGGAATCAAATTATGCAATTCCATCGCACACTCTCAGTGATATATCCTGTAATATACCGATAAGCTGGCAACTCTACGGCGGTGTTCAAGGCTCTGCAGCTTCGCCTCTACTAGTTCCTAGTCACCTATAAGCCTCTTACCACGCTTGTTTATTGAATCCAAGGTGGCCAGTTGGTATTTAGCAGAGCCATCATATAAGTGGCAGCAGTAGTCCATACACGACCGGACTTGGTACAGCTGAAGCAACTGTCCCGGTGTGAAGTATAGCCTCACCTTGGAAAGGATACCAAGCTTTTTGGCTGCATTTTTGGCCATGGATTCAATGTAACTGCCGAAGTTCAGATTGGACGATAGGTCCATTCCAAGTAGGTGAAGACGGTCGGCTATCGGTATGGATATATCACGAAAAGTTGGAGTCAGGTGAAAGGGACTCCGTTTAGTGGAGAAAAGACACGCCTGCGTTTTGGTAGCATTAAATTTGACAAGATTGGCATCGCCCCAATCGGAGACTGCCTTAAGTGTCAAATTGAAAAGACTTATCATGGACTCTCGACAAAACTGGATTTCTTCTCCACTGATCCTTGCATGAGCCTGGATTTCATCTATAACACACATTAATTGTAATCCGGTATGTAACCCCCTCAAACCTGTACAAAAAACATCTTTTCAGGAAAACAACTCTTCGCACGTTCATTCACCTCCACCTTGCCAAGCCTCTCTCCTCTTATATTTTTTTAACAACCTCACCAATATCTTTCAGTGTTGCCATTTTGTTTTTTTTTATTATACCTAAATCGAATCGGTAACTTATTTATTTAAATCTGATAGTTATTGCAAGTAGTAAATAAGCATTTTGAACTAAATCATTGATTATATAGCTTTTGCTAACACAGTATTCTATTATGCGTTATTCTCTATCTGTTTTGTATATTATACAAGTCATGTACCCCACCTACTGTGGGGTTGACCTCGGCCTGTGGCGCGTGGTTGCGCCATACGCCATGCGTAATGCATGTCCGTCCCGGAGCTCGACCAGCACAAGAACTTTAGACTAGCCAGTTAATACACTATACTTACTTCGGCAGCTGATTAATTTGCGAAGCACTCTTGTTGGGGGGTGCGAAAGCGGGTACTAGATTCCTTTTCACGTCGTGAGTGAATTGCACCGTTCCGCCTGTGTTGAACCAGTTCTCTAATACCACTTCCTGGAAAATAATTGGTTTATTGTATAATGTTTTGAGAAATGATAGCCTAGCTGGAAGTGATGCCTTCTATGCCGAAGTTTCTGGATTTATTCATTTTTCGAGCTCCTTGTGAAAGAGCTCGCCCAGGGAAGTACCTTGTGTGTAGTACATCTCACCTTATTGTATCGCTTCTCTCCGCTTGTATCCTATAATTTTTTTTATTTTATATGTATTTAAATTTTAAATTTGAATTGTTCCATCTTCCTTCACTTTCTCATTTTGTTTTCGTACCACGGTCACTCCCAGCTCGACCGCCACAACAGTCGGAGCTGTTTCAAATTCCATCGCGAATAATCGCTAATTCTGGTTCTTTACTACGTTTATAATCATTTAATAAGCTAAATCATGTGTAATAATTTATAACAGTCTACAGCATTCATGTACCTATATCTGTAATTCTGTTACTCGGCCCATTTAGGGCCCTTTCTTTTAACTTTACTTCTTTAATAAATTTTGTGGACCGGAAGTTTCCCGTTTCATTGCCGTGAACCTGTTCACGGCTAGTTAGGGTTACAACCCTTTTTAGGGTTACAACCCTTTCAACCTTAACTATTTCTGCCGCCAAGCGGTAATGTAAGCATAACGGCGTTCCGGTTTTGAAGGTGCTGGTGACATTAGAAATACATGGGACTTGTCTCAGGGTGATAGGTGCAGTGGCAGTGCCCCTCAGATCTTTGCGATTTAAAGCTCTGACTAGCACTATGGATAGACATGTCGCTTACCACCAGGCGCACGACCTTTTCGTCCCGTCACTTGGTATGATAAAAAATGCAAAGCGGTTCGAATTGTGTCCAAGTGAATAAAGATCAACGGTGACCTTACTTCGAAGATGTATTGGTCCAGCGCGTTGGCGAGGTGCGCGCGCAGGCGCATGGCCAGCGCAGGCGCGAGGCAGTCGCCGGCGCGCGACATGCGGCCCACCAGCGCCGACAGCGGCCGGCACAGCGGCGCCGACACTGACAGCGCTATCTGCTCCACCATCAGCATTGCGTGCCAGCTGCAGGGAACGAAACGCCAAGTCACATCTTAGAGTGGTTGTTACACAAGGCGACGATTAAGATCATATAACATATTAGACAACATCACATACGATCTAAAAGTAAGTAACTAAAGTATTTGTATTATTGATTTTTATTGAATTTCACGATGTGTGACGACCGTGATATTAATTTTTACTTTATACGTACACCGTGAACACAGATTGAAGTCATGTCGGGTCGAAAGAATTATTCTTTGTGTTCGATCTTTGTATTAATAAATTAAAGCACTTGTGTTATGAAAATCAGAAACCACAAACACCCAGACCCGAGACAATATAGAAAAGTTACTTTTACCACATTGACCCGGCCAGAGATCGAACTCTGGATCTCAGAGATGGCGACACCATGAAAACCGGTGTGCAAGGCTCTCGACCACGGAGATCATCTGAAATTCTACATACATATACTGAACTTTATCAAATTAAATGCAATTTTTTGACTCGTGTCTACTTTGTACGTTACTCAATTGACATACAGCCTATTATGTTCCACAGCAAAGTAAATTGAGCATTATTGGTGCAGCCTGACATCTGGTTTACACGTATTAAGTGACAAAGCATTTAACTAAATTTTAACTTTAACAAAATTAAACGTTAGCTCACCAAAGTTCAAGCAACTCCTTCCGGGGAATGCAAGGGGTGCGAGAGGGTTGGCTACTTGGTAAAAAACATGTTTGATTCTGATATAATTATCCACTAAATCGATGATTAATTAAACTAAAATGTTTTTAGGATGCTCCCTGTGTCACTTCGTCATAGGGATGAGGTAAAGTCGATAGATTGTAGGTTTAATTGATTTCTGAAGCAAAGGTTCTCTCTTATACAGCCTTGTATAATATTAGGGGTTAAAGTATGAAATTGCCGTTTTATTGCAATAGGTTCTTTGAATTTTCATAGAATCTTCATGGTTTGAGGTTTTCGAATGAAACTTTTTTCAAATGGTTTCTGTGATTTTTTTTTTTTAAATTTGAAACATTTGAATATCGACTTTCAATTGTTTTTGTTATTCAATTTAGACAAGAAAGATGGATACTGCGAAAATTCGAGTGATTTTTGAATACGAGTTCCGACGCGGAACTAACGCGGCAGAAACAGCCCGCAATATCAATGCTGCGTTTGGAGAGGGGTCTACTAATGAACGCACCGTGCGATTTTGGTTTAAACGCTTTCGTGATGGAAATTTCGATTTAAAGAACGAGTCACGAGGAAGACCGCCCACACAGGTGAATAACGATGAATTAAGAGAGATAGTGGAAGCCGATCCTAGTCAAACTACCCAGGAATTAGCGGCATGGTTTAACGTTACCTTACCCACAATATTGACTCACTTGCGTCAAATCAATAAAATAAAAAAATACGAAAAATGGGTGCCTCATGATTTGACTGATCTGCAGAAAGAAACGCGTGTTGAAACTTGTGTTGCCTTGTTGAACCGGTACAGAAATGAAGGAATATTGGATCGAATTGTGACATGTGATGAAAAGTGGATTCTTTATGATAACCGGAAAAGAAAAATGCAATGGCTGACCCCAGGTCAAATGCCACAACAGTGTCCTAAAGCAAAACTTACCAATAAAAAGGTAATGGTAACTGTTTGGTGGTCTCAGCATGGTGTTATTCACTATAGTTTTCTCCGATCTGGTCAAGCAATAACGGCAGATGTCTATTGTGCCGAACTCCGAACCATGTTGACAAAACTAGCAGTAAAACAGCCCCGACTCATGAATCGATCTTCACCATTATTGCTCCACGACAACGCGAGACCTCACACAGCACGAGAAACCATTTTGACCCTTCAGGAACTCTAGTTAGAAACCATTCGTCATCCTCCGTATTCACCAGACCTTGCTCCAACGGACTACCATTTTTTTCGTGATTTGGACAATTATCTACGTGACAAGAAGTTTTCTTCCCAGGAGGCAGTACAAAATGCTTTCACACAGTTTGTGCAGTCTAGATCGTCGGAGTTCTATCGCAAAGGGATTAATAACCTTCCCATTAGATGGCAGCAATGTATAGATAATAATGGCAACTATTTTGATTAAATAAATTTGTTAAAAATTTAAAAAATAAACAATTTAGATTTTCAGTACAAATCGGCAATTTCATACTTTAACCCCTATTATTACGGTTTAAAAAAAAATTAAGTTTTTAGAATAATTGATTCCCATGAATTGTGCACAAATATTTATTTTATTTTTCATATCCGATCCGATATTTCTATGGAGTAGGTACCGGAAAAGAAACAAATGAAATGTAAATGCAGTTTTTGTTTATGATTCAATAGCCATCGCTGGCGATAGGCGAACGATAATAATTGCATATACAACCAATTATAGCGTCCTAAAATCTATGAAATTGTCCAAGAATACTTTTGACGTTGATGTCGACATGTATACAAATTTATTTCGAATGCTGACACCTTGTATGTGCCAGGTATTTTTTATTGTTCCCAGCTGTGTTTTCTTTTAAAGTTATTTGTTTTTGTTGTTTTTATTTGTTGACTTTTAGTTAGTTTTTATTATTTGGCTGTTGTTGTTTAGCCATGCTGAAAAGACTCACAAAGATTGTCCTCGACAGTCAAGTGCGGTAACTTGTAGTGCGTCTACGTGATTATATTGATCGCGAGAAACCAAATAATGGATCCTGGCTGTTGTATAGATGTATGAAGTGTTTTGTATTGCATTGAAGGCATAAAACACCCAACTAAATTCAACTGATATTTTAATAGACTCATAATGTACGAGTAGATTAAAAACATTAATATCATATAACTAATTACCTAATAGATTAAACTTGGGTTAAACGCGCTATATATTTATTCATTAAATCATCGAAAACTTTTTATCTTATATTAATGCAGTCTAATGAAGTAACTTTTGTACGTTGTCGTAAAGATAAATTAATTTTGAAAAAAAATATTGTTTCTCTGCTCATTTCTCACTTCGTGTTACTTTTACTTTAATTTTATGTATTTGCTTAAACAAATTTTATTCACTTAAAAGCGAGACTTATAAAAATAGTTTATAAAGTACGTAAATTAGTGGACGTCGTCGTTACAAGGTTATATTATGTACAATTTTGTGAAGTGTCACAGGGATCATCCTAGAAATTTTGTAGTATAACAGCTGTTAAGCGATTGTTTATAGCCATAAATTAATGTAAAACTTAGTTAATTACTATGTCACATAATACGTGCTAGCAAACCAGCCATTAGTCGCGCATGTTACGAAGTATAACATTGACTAAGCAGCACTTACGATTGCTTCTTATAATCCCGAATAGATGCCTTGAACTCGAGCAGTATTCGATCCGCCAAAGCTGCGAGACCGGCGTCTCGTAGATGCGCAAGCAACGCTGGTGCTTCAGCGAACACTCCTGCTTCTTCTGCCTCATCGTCTCCTGGTAGCTTGTCTGTCACGCTAAGATTTGCTATTGGCGCCGCCTGGAAATACGCGTTATAAAATAAATTACTACAGAACTACAGACACAAAAGAGACGAACTGTGCTCTACCATAAGATTACAGTGACAGTTCCCGCTAGCGACCGCGTAAAATATTTGTGTACAAAATGTTGTTTCTTCTTGTGACCGCTAGGGGCGCTGTCATTTGCCATACAAAATTGTGAAGTAATTTACGCGGTCGCTAGCCACAACTGTCACAGTAATCTCGTGACCGAACTGCCTCCGTGGCCGAACGGTTACCAAGACGGACTGCCACGTAGAGGTCCCAGGTTCGATTCTCGGGCCGGGAGAAATATTTGTATGGCCTACATTTGTTTTTCTCGTGAGTTTCAGTGTAATTTGTGGTTGTGTATGTGTGTGTCCATGGTACCCGCGACACAGGGTTTCCCTAGTGAGGGGCTATGTTGAGTGTGTGCGTTATTATTATAAGTGACTACAACAGTTCAAACGCGTTTAGAACGCGCGGTAGGAAATTCGAACGGACAATTACTTTAACTTTAAAACTTATTTACTTAAAACTCTACAAATGACTTTATTTGTAGTGGAGTGACGGATCTAATTCCGTGTATTTATATGAACGACGTCACACCTTTCCATATAAATTACACGGAATTAGACCCGCCGCGGTCCTGACCCGACCCGCGCCCGACCCGTACCCGCTCTCTGTATGTTTCACGCTTAACGGCTTTGGCATGAAGCCATACATACAATCACAAGACTGCATGGACTACAGCTGATATCGACAAATTTACGTATATTTTAAATAAATACTTACAACATCACTGTAATTGTTCAAATCGATCATCAACGAGTCCCTCCTGGTCACTTCGCGCTCCGCCATCGTTTTTGCTTGTTGTTCCACTTCATTCAGTGACATTAGGTCATCTTTTTTACTGTCTGTACAAAACGTTAGTTATGTAAACTAAATTGACCGCGTGGCAACGACATTTGGCATACAAGTATCTATCAAGAAGTAAAAAGTAGTGTGGAAAGCAGTTCGCATCCCTCGCATCGACGGCGTTGCGGCATTCCATACTAATGAAACTTGTGTGGACAAAACAAAAATTTCTACTGGTTTTTGCCATTGACTCGACAAGAAGAATGAACGATTTGACTGTGAGTGTGTCATAACCCTACGACGGATAAAACGTTGGCATAACTTAGATTGTACCCTAATAAAACTATGTCTTGTCTATTCATACCCATTATCAATAAAATAGTTATTTTTATTGTCGTTTCACGTAACAACAATTGATTTGGTAGGCACTTTGCTCACCTGTGGTCTTGCTGTCGTCATCGCTATCGCTAGAGTCGGTCTCGGATTCGGACACGTCATGATGTTGCTGCTGAGTGAAATGGTGGAACTGACGCCTGTAGTAGTGAAGCTGGAGGTAGTGCTAAAGAAGGCATAATATTTAATAATACTAAATACTATTCTACACGCAAAAAAAAAGGCGCCTAGTCTTGACGTCGAGTTGCGGACACCAGCCCGTTACACCAATTACCAAGATATTTAATAATATTAAATATAATATAAAAATAAGATTTAATGGTTTGACCTATCGCTTCTCAAGTAGACCGGTTGTGGGTTCGAATCCGGGCTTTTCGGAATGTATGTGCGAAATTTATTTTTAACTTTACCATGGCCTTTTTGGTGTAGGAAAACATCGTAAGGAAACCTGCACACATCAGTGAAGCTATGTAATTTGTAAAGCTAAACTAAATTTCCAATTTAGTAAATCGATAAATTAGTAACCTATAACTAACTACGTTAAGTAAAAGCGCTACTTTGAATCGAGTTTAAGTTTGAAGTTAACCCTCATAGGTTTAGACTACATTAACTCTTGATGACAACTTTACCAATGAATGCGCCCATTGCAGAAGTACTGTCCTCGTGTGGTGAGCGGCGTTGATGACAGCCAGCAGATGTCGTGGGGAGTCTGACGTCAGCAAAGAGTCTGCAGCCATCACGCCTAGAGCCGCGTTCATCAGCTGTGTTAGACGGACGCGCCATTCTTCTATTAGCTCTAGTTGGAGTTCTAGAAATTGTAATCTGTGAAGATTGCAATACACAGTTGATGAATCGTCCAAAACTTTGAATTTCATACAGATTTTAAAAATTTCAACAGCGTGTTAACAAATTAAGCACGGATGTTTTTAGAGTCAGTTAGTTACCTCATTATAATAACTTTGAAGCAAGATAATAACCAGAACACACCCTGATACAATACTGCTGTAACTGCTGGTGAAATTACAGGCACATGGGACTTGTCACCTTATGTCTCAGGATGACGGTCGCAGTAGCAGTGCCCCGCAGCTCTTTGCGATTTAAAGCTCTGAGGACACTGCAACAGTTATGGACAGGCGTGTAGCTTACATCAGGCGCACGACTTGTTCGTCACTTGAGATTATAAAAAAAAACACTACTTGGAGACTCAAAAGTGGTCTTCAATGTTGTCTTTGTCAATGTCATGGTGTTTCATGATTTATTTATAAATAAATGCACGTGATTATTATTATGTTTGGAAGAAATACGTTTTTGTAGGTTTAAGTAAATTTATAATTGCATAAATCTTCTTGGTTTGTATTTTTGATTAATTTTTTTTTAGTGAAAACGACGACTCTAAAGTTATCCGTACGTAATTTATAAGCACCTTGTATTTTTCGACTTTATAAACTGAACAATATAAAAAGGATTTACCGATGTCCTGGCTGCGGTAACACGGCATATCGTTCTTCAATAGTTTTCAACAACGCGATAAACCAATCTGCTCCTCGGGGAACCCACACCACTGAACCTACCGCCGATCCCACACCAGCTGCCACTGCTTCGCTCCATTGCTCGCTGCCTAGCGTCTCGTCCATTTTCAATAACGCATCTGAAATAATGTTTGAGCATTATGAATCTTCTTTTGATAACCTTGTGCCATGGTGGTACATTTCAACTTATTAGTATATTGACTGTATTCTTCAACATAAAATATACGCCATTTAAAATAATTGCTTGAAACTGTGCTGGTGTTCAGGCTTTGTCTGATAAGTATTCCCCGCTGGAAACACCGCAAGATAGTATAGTAGTATTTTCAATTAAATATACACACATCAAAAGTGTCTAGGGATCAAGCACGTTTTTGCCAAATGCTGGTGTTTTTTATTATTATGTTTTTTAACACCAATGGCATTTTGGGAAATTTCATAATTTAAAAAAAATATTTTCATAAATTTATGTAAACATTTTTATTTCATTTTAATAGGTAAAAATACCTTGATCCCTAGACGCTTTTGATGGGTGTGTAAATAGGAGCGTAGCTTATTCACTGCAGAAATAATAAATTTTAGATTTCAAATGCTGACTACCGACCATATTGCTAAGATTGAAAGAGCATTTTACTGTGTTCAAAGAATAAAATAAACAGAGAATGGCAATCCAAGGGCAATTCAAGTCAAGTTTTATGTGGATATGCTCCGTAGTTTTGCGCGGCGATTCCGGCAATGTCAGTGTTGCTAGACTTATTGCAATGATGAGTCAAATTATTTAGAACAATTTAACGGTTTGTTATAATTATTAATACAAAGATCGAACGTCGACGTCTTCTTGCATACCTTACATTATTATACATTTTTTTTTGAGTGTTCGATCTTTGTATTAATTAACAATTCAATAAAAATTTAATTAATTTAGCGGTTATTAGACAAATTGACGGTTATAGAGTGGATTTTGCGTTGGCCAAAGAAGTCTTCGATTATAGTCTTTTTTTGAAGACGGGGTAAAATGGCATTTGTAGGGTTGCCAGTTTTCATAAAATTTTAAATAGTTGTTGCCGATACTTGTATCGATAGATTGTGAAAGACGATAAAATTTTGCCAAAAATGACAGAATTGTGAATGTTACGACGATCTAATGATTACTAACTGTGTTATTGCCTTCTTTATTTTTATTTTGACAGTTGGCCTACTATTATCGAAATCAAATTTTTATTCATTTATACATTTTAACAATAATAGCTCGATTTGATTATTTGTATTGAATTAAAACGAAAAACTTTAAAATATGCCATAAACACAGTTAAAAATATAGTGTATGTACGTATGGACTTACAAAAACTGATAATTTAAATGAACTTGTGTTCAGTAATTAGATGTATAATGAGTCGAGGAAGATTCAAATGATACAAGTACTGCTATTTATTCCATAAGCGTGACCAATAGTCAGTCGATATTCGATAGAATATTTATCGACTGCAATCACCAGCTGCTCACACGCGGGCAACACTTGCGCACTGCACTGTCATTGTATTCCGTCTTCAAAAAAGATAGACTATAGTCAGTTGGGACAGAGTATTGTGGAATAAGTGTAGCCGAAATAAAGCTATTGGTAGCTGATTAAAATTCATTATTTTTTTTATTTCTTTATTTACACAGCTATATACACAATGTGATGTATAGTGCTAAATTATAATACACAGAGTCATCTATTGATCAGGTGACAACATTCGACAATAAAAAAATACGATGACACGGGTTTGCGCGTCAGATACGCCTAAGTTGGCAATTTGAGAATCTGGCATTCCGCGAACCTGACATTCCCGTTTGGCATTTTGCGTTTCTGGTTTCATAATGTGTCAAAATGCGCTATTCTATGTATCGAAAGAAGCAATATTTATGTATTTGTACTTACACTTCTTTTCCACACTCAACCACCTCACAAATGTCTCAGCTTTGGTCAACACGGAGAGCACGCTATTAACGTCTTTTCCCGTAACGGCGACGAGTTCTTTATGGAAACCAAGCGTTTCGTCGACAGCATGCGCAAATGCGGAGTCGACGATTTCCCCTTTCGACCCTTGCGTGTTATATAGGGCTAGTACTGTGTGTAGCCGCTCTGCTGCTAATGCTATTAATCCGGCATTAAATTCATCCTGTAAATAGAATTTGTTTTCATTCATTGATAGATTAAACATTATAGATGGAGTTAGAGAGTTTTATACAAACCCAAGAGTCGACAGTTCTCTAAAAATCGCAGGGATTTGACAAGCGTCAAAAAAGACTTTTCAGTAGCATTAGAAACACACATAAATGAATGGTTAAATGTAAAAACAACAAGCAATTCGTTAGGGTGTTTCCATTTTGTCGTGACGACAGATAGTCGTGCAGTTTAAAAGTGTCGTGGCTTGTATATTTAAATGATGTTGTTCACATATAGTACAACACAATTAACTGTCGCTCACAACTTTTTTGTCGTTACGACGACAGACTGTCGTGCGAATGGGAAGAGCTAGAACGACAGTCGTTGGACGAGAAATAAAACGTCACAATATAAATGTGACGACAGATAATGGCAAAGTCAAATGATTCTGTCGTGCAAACGACATGATGGCTGCCGTGAACCGATAAATTGTCGTCACGATGTAGTGGGAACAGCTAGACACGACAGTCGTTCAACGACAAAATAAACGTCAACAACATAGTCACGACAGATAGTCGTGATATGGGAACAGGCTAGACGCGACAGTCGTCCAACGATAAATGAAACGATAAATGCCATAATAGTTTTGCTAAAAATGCATACTCCATCATTTTCTACAAGTTTAAATAATAGAACAATTTTGACAATAAAATTTTTTAGCGCAATACCTTACTGCAAAGACACCTTTACCTTGACATGGAGTTAGCTAGCTTGTGATGGCTAATCAATCATAAATATTTCCAATTCGATGGCATTATGTAACAATTAGGGCTGGATGAGGTCTTGCTAACTAAAGGAATTTCTATGATATAATAATAATAATAACAACAGCGCACACACTTAACATAGCCTCGCACTAGGGAAACCCTCACCCGGTCGCGGGTGCCATGTCCCACATAGACAACCACAAATTACACCCAAACTCACGAGTTAAATAAATGTAGGCGATACAAATATTTCTAAATAGATATTTTATAGGATGTAGCGAGTTAACATTACATTGTTCCTCACTCAACAATATAATAAATTTTAAAAATGTCATTTTTTAAACAAACAAATAAATAAATATAGAAACACTAACCACAGCTCTAACTTTCTTCATTTGTAGCTTATCAGCCACAGGTTGTATATGACTTCTAACGAAACCTTGGTGGTCCTTGATCCAAGTCAAAGTTTGTGTAAGGAACCACTCTGGCCTGTCAAGGCGCGCCGTTTGCCGTGACCCCGTGAAGTGGAATGTAAAGCGTTTCTTGAGAGGGCGTAGAAGTATTCGTACAGGAAGACAGGGGTCTTGATCTATATAAAAGAGTTGCTACGTAAGTGACAGTTTCATACATTTGTTCTCTTGCCGTGTCTCAATCGATTAAAAGGGAAAAGGCATTGCTTGATTAAAGTTAATTTTAATACATTTGTAGCAGTTACTACTATACTGTTTGTATATGTTTATGTCATTTTTAGTTTCAAGTCGATTCTGCCAACGTCAGAATTGGAATACTGACGGGACAAATTGCCAGTTATTGAAACAATTTAGCGGTTATTAAGAAACCTATATGGAATGACAGATTGACGGTTGTTGAAAGGTTTTTGGTTTGGTCCGAATCTTTGCTTTGTATCTACTTGGAATAAAATATTGAGGAGTGTATATAGACAGAATAGAGCAATAAATTGCTCATTACAAATCTATCAAATTCGTTAATGTTTTATCTAATTCTAAATTTAATTGCATTTGTTTATGCCGCCTTTTAATGACATATTTTGGTATTGTAACATTGCTAAATAATCTTATTAAATACACATTTATGCAGTGCGGTACAACATTTTTCATCGACATATTGAACTCTAAAATCAATATAGGTAAAAGCCAAATAAATAAATAAGGTCCAAAATATTTGATTGTATCTATACTACATGAATTGCGAATGAATTAGTTTGCATTTGAATTGAATTAAATTGGTTTTGTTTCGGTTGTTTTACGAGAGGCGTCTTTGTCCTATAGGGTCCTGGCAGAATACCAGCGTCACGGGCAGTCCCGTCATTTATGCTGAGTCGGCGCCTTTTCCCTGCTATGACTTCCAAGGGAGACGTTATTCCTTCCAAGTGATAATATATTACTATGTTATGTCTAATTTAATGTCGGTATCACGTGTCTGTGTAGGTATTTGTCATGGTGGTGAATAAAGATACGATTAAATAGGTAGATATCTAATTGTCATGAATGAATCATTATCGCACTAGCTGCAAATAATTGTGACAAACTATACTATTACGTACCTTGATTAAAATCATTGGTAACATTGACAGATACAAGGTCTTCAGGTTCCTGAATGAGGAATAAGTACTTTGTGATGTTACTAAATTTGAGCAGTATCTCTTTAGGAGGTGGGGAGTTTTCTGCACCACTTGTTATTGGCCATTTTAATAACTTTAGGACTTCATCATAGTTTCTGAAAAGAAAAAAAATCTTTCTAAATAGTGAAAAAAACTATTAGCTATAAAAAAGATTTTTTATTTTACTATTTTATTCTTAAGTTTTTTATTTGGTATAGCAAGCATTGTAATGAACGCAATCTTATTGTGGTGTAGTAGTTGTAGACTTTAATTAGTTATAAGGTTTGATGTATCCGAATTTATAATATTTTAAACGGTGTCCGGTGTCATAGATAGATATAGGTCTACAATGTTCAACCCCCTACTTTTATAATAAACTTTAAAATGTTTAAGGCGAGTTATTTCAACGCGAGCCTTCTTTATAGGAGGTGAAGTGTCGGAGGTCGCAATAAATTAATATGAATAAAATAAAAACAGGCGAAGAAAATATGACACATATTCGACGTTGATAAGCGCACGATGGCGACAGACGGGGCAGTGGGGGGGCGTGGCGTGTCGTTAAACCGCTGGACAATTAGCAAATTTCGGGTTAAATGTGAATTTAATAACTATATGGGTTCAGATGAAAAATAAAATTTAGTAGATTCCCTATAATACTTGAAGAGAAATATCTCCATATAAAAATTATGTGCAAAGTTAGATGTTGTATTCTTCAATAATTTGTTTTAAACTTTTATTTTAGTCTGTTTTCAAGTTTTTATATGATCAGATAAAGTACTCCTATCATGTAACACATATGCACATTCTTTAGACATGACATGTCTCATATATTTTTTGTAAGATTGTTATTTAACAGTAAATACTTAAACCATTTGATTTAGCAGAACAGTTTTGCCCCCTTTGCGCGCGCGCGTTTATCATACTAGAGTTTGTGATTTTTAATATCATTAATATTTTATCCAAAGTTTAAAAAAAAGTTGTGTCAGTGAAGTATAGTGCAGTTATTAATTGTAAATATTGTTATCTTCATCCAACAATACTTACTTAGTCAATTTGTCTTTCAACACATTATGCCAGTAGTGTGTGTATTCCTTTATATAAACAGCCCTGTGTCCTGTTTCATACTGACTACACATATCTTTAAGCTCACCATACAGTAGCACAGCTTGTTCATCATCGCTGCACTGTTGTAGTTGATTACTGAAATAAATATTAAATTAAAATTATACATTACAATAAAACACTTGATCATTCTGCAAAACACTTTGGACTTTGGGTGATCTAATTGCAAGAACAATAGAGTTGAATCTTAAGTATCAAGCTTGACACACTCTTGACTGTACTAATATTAGGAAACATTTTTTTTTTATGATAATAGTAAGCTATAGTATACAACAGATCTGTATGAGCGCATATAATTTGCTCCAGTGCTGGGCAAGGATGTCTTTAGAATGAAAAACAAATTTAACAAAAATATAACATAATACATTTTTAGAACATTTTATATACAAAACTTATCTTATTTTTAAATTTACCCATATGTATATAATGTAATTTATTATTATTAGTGTTAAGAATAGTGCAAGAAAAGAGAAGCTTATTCATGGCAATAGATAACTTAAGGGGAAAGATGTATGGGCATTTGATATGTCATGACCGTTTTCTTAGAAGCATGTAGAAGGGAAGATTGAAGGAAAGAGAGTCAATCCTCTGACTCTCTTTCCTTCAATCTTCCCTGATGACTGAGATGGATTACTTCACTGACAAGAGCCTAGCTTTAAAATAAGAGGAATTATTAGTATAAGCATTTTGATATTATAATATCAAGTCATGGGGTGAACAGCTATTTAAAACTAGCTGTACCTGAGATTTTATACACACAAATATAGCACTGTGGTACCATACAAATATACATTGCAAGCTGAAAGAAAATACCGTGACCAAGCTCATTTAGACTTAATTTCAGGAACTTTAAATATTTGGTTTCACAATTTTGAAAGCAGAGACTCCATTTAACTATTAGAGATGCCATTATGCCAAAAAAATATTCACACACTTGCACTTGATGGTAAAGCAGGTTCTGGTGAACCTGGTAGCAGTTCTTTTTTGCATTAATTCTTGTTTACATACTGAACCACATAGCATTTTGTGACAGACTAGCTAATAGATCATTAGAATTGTGGTAAGTTTGGCAATCCTACCTTTAGCTAGTGCACTTGTTTGCAGGCGCATTCGCTGCATTTGAGAAAGAAAGAGATAGCAATAATTTCTCGGTTCCTCCAGCTGCGCTATAACCTTTGGTATTAACTTGTTAATGACCTTTGGATCAAGCACGAACAGGTGATTCCAAATTGATGTTTACAGCAATTAAATAAACAAAAAAAAGAAAATAGAAATTTTTTTTTCCATTAATATTTTTTAATGTTTTGGGTTGTTTAAGATATAGAATGACCTATGTAAATATGGCGAGAATGCAAATCAACACATTGTACACAATTGTGTATTTATTATCAATTTCAATTGACATAACAATTGAAGTAAACTTGACTTTACGAAACCCTAGCAGAAGTCATCAGTAGCAGTACAATACGTGAATGATTAATGAATAATTGTGAATGAGTTTGTCCAGGGAATTACTGCCATATTATTTTCTTCAGCTGTCAAGCTGTGATGCACATATTACTGCGTTTGAGTTTTGAAGGGTAAGGGTGCGGTACACACGGGACTTGTCAACTATGTCTCAACGTGACAGGTGCAGTGGCAGTACTCCTCAGGTCTTTGCAGTTTAAAGGTCTGAGTGGTACTGCAACTGTTATGGAAGGGCATGTCGCTAACCACCAGGCACTCAACTTGTTCGTCCCGCTACTTGGTATCATAAAAGATACTCTACCTTATGTCTTCAATTTTCTCAAAAGACTTCAAATATGACAGGACTTCTTCCAACTTATTGATGGCCGCAAACCTCTTATTCAATTCATTTTGTAAAGGCACAGTCTTGCTCAAAAATAAATCAACTTTTACTTTAAGTTTTTCACGCCTTTCTTTTAGACTTTCTATTTGTTTTGAATTAAGCTCTGCCTTTTTTATTGCAGTTGATAATTTCGTTGGTACTTCATCGTTAGCTTCATTTAACTGTGAAACGAAAGTTATGAAAAATCAACCATTTAAAATTCAGGTAAAAATTGGTTTGTGTTTCTAAACAGAGTGTTATGTATTAACAATTTAGGCTCAACTCTAGAAAGCTGACGTCGAGTTGGACGTTCAAATTTTTTATTGCATAGTAAGGCCTGTTATTAAGTAATTAGTATGGAATAAAAATATGTGAAACTTACTTGACTTTGTATTTCATTTCTTTTCGCCACTAGCTTATTTTCCAACTCGTAAGCATTGGATAAATCATTGATATCACTACCAATTTTTATATTCAGATCGTGTAAAATACTTTCTCTATCGTCTTCATTCATCTTTGCAGCTTATTTCATGATATTTACGCGAAAAATTATATATTTCCGATTATAATCAAGCACGTCACAAAATCCATTACAGTTGGCGATTTAATAATTCCAAAGAGAGAAAGTGATAACAATATACATGAAGTGACGTAAAAACGGTTCGGTTCTACTGTTCTATTTTAGAGTATTGCGTGAAAATTTATTAGACAAAGCGAATTTAGAAATGTCAACAAAGTCAACATTAATATATTTAAATTAGGTAGCCCATACATCGACAAACTTGTTAGCCAATTTTCCACAATGAATGTGTCTATATTATCCGACATGGGTAAGGGACAATAAAATTACAGGCACATGGGACTTGTGAACGTATGTATGTATTTCGGTGTCGGGGGCAGTGCTAGTGCGTGCCCCTTAGATTTTTGTGATTTAAAGCTCTTAGTGTCACTACAACTGTTATGAACAGAACTGACATGTCGCTTACCACGTAGACTTGATCGTTTCGTTATTTGGTGGCAATAAAATACATTTTCATTCGGCAACGGAGTGTAATTTAGTAGGTAAATATGGAATATCATTGTTAGATTGTTTTATTTATGTGTGTACTAAAAAAAAATAAGGTGATTCAATATTCATGGCATTACAAATATTTCATACTTTTTTATATATTAAACTATTTTACCTCGTCAATACCCTAAGCAAGCCCTAAGCTATGGCATCAAAAGCTTTTATAAATCTGGAATACTTTTTCGTTATTTAGATAAAGAAAAAGAAAGTAGAGTAATGCTTCAAAATCATCGTTCTTATGCGATGCCCAGCAGTATGTAAAAAAACATTACTTTTATGGAGAATCAGTATGCATCAACAAGGTAAGCCACGTGACCACACTATCATTATTGATATAGAATCTCCATCCAACACCTCTGTTGTGAATATTTATTACTATTATCGGGTCAACTGTCAACCAACGTATCGACATTATACGTCATATAAGTCATAAATGCAGCAAGGATATGTTGGCTAACATGCATTTTTGTGAAAACGTTGGTTAACCCGTGATAAATTCTGATGGGACCATTGACTTTTGTCAATGAGTGTCATGACTTGAGTTTTAGTTCGTGGAAAGTCGGTTTTTTAAAAAACAATGTGTTGTTTATTTTAAATTTTACAAAATAGCTTTAAAAATGTCTTTCCTAGCAAAAAATAAAAATGATATAATTTATGTGTCCCTTTTGCTATTCAGTGTTGCGATAAGTCCATACTATCGTTCTGTAACGTCGATACAAATAAAAAAATGGGTTGGTTCACTTATAGGTATTCTATTGATTATTATTGTATCCGGATACAATTCATTGCACCCCATAGTATCTGGTCTGCTTGGAATTGGAGCTATTAAGCTGTTTACAGTGAAGTAAGTATAGAGTGTATTCTATATTATGATAATCAGTAATTTTAGTCTACCCCATTCCAGAGTACGTATTTAATCTATTTTTATAACCCGTTCGTGAACAGTATTTAAACAGTCGGTACTGCACACAAAAATATCACTACTTTTTGTGCCTTAGTGCTTATTTATAGTGCCATATTAATATTCATTCACTGTTCAATCTAAATAATTGAATTTTGTCAGTACATTATTGATATTTCTCTGTAGAGTACTACATAGAAAGCTCTTGCAAATCGCACTATAATTTCTGTTGGTTTTTTGAGATTCATATAACAAAATGGGGTACTGATCCATAAATCTGTTAAGAAATTATACTCGTGTTTACCACCTATTGTTACTTCTTTAACATTTGTTGTTAATTTTTGTAATAATAGTAGTATGAAATAATAACTTTAACAAAATAATGCAGTGTTTGTGTATTGATTAACTGAAATGTGAAAGAAATGAATCTTCCTGTGTACATAAGTAGGTACAAATTTAAAATTAATTTATTTCATACCTTGAAAATAATAAATTAGAAATTAGTGGTTGCTATAATTGTAAATAGATGTTTCTTCACATTTATCACTTACAATACTTTTTAAAATAATGATCATAATAATAATAAGGTGCACATATTCATAGCCCCCCACTAAGGAGACCCTGTATTGAGGGTGCCATGGATATACACATAGACAACCACAAATTACACCCAAACACATAAGAGAAATAAATGTATGCTATACATATATTTCTCCCAGCCCAGTAATCGAATCCGAGACCTCAGTGTGGCAGTCCAGCTTGGTAACTATTTGGCCACTGAGGCAGTTGAAAATTAAATAAAATGAAGAGAAAACAACTTGTAGGAACTAAACAGACCATTCCCATGGATTTTTGTCATCTTAGTACACAGAAACTGTGTAATAATTGTATGTATAGTGTATCTTTAATCTTATTAAATGATAGTTTTATTACTGTTCATCATCAACCCATTCATACTTCAGGTCAAATCATTAGGCTACCATGGCTTTTTATTACTGTTAAAGGGATTTATTTGATTCATAACTAATAATGATGTATTTGATAAATTTATGATTTGAATAAGTGAACTGATGTAAATTCCAACTGTGAGGTGTAAAGTGCTGATGGTGCTCATTGTTGGTCACATTGTTGTACAATAATCTATTGTATGAAGTTTTTATTCCATCATAAATCGCTTATATGACAAATACATTGGTCTTTAATGATTTTGTGAAGATGGTTTATCCAAGCAGTTGCTTTATATTTGTTACTCGAAATAATATGAAGATACATTCCTGAAAAGTCCTTTTTACAATATAATGAGATGCTTACATTTATTTTGTTTTTTTTTTTAGTTAAAGGAACATTCTTATTTCAGATACTGCCATACAGTGACTTTTTTCTTTATGTTTGGTCATCTTTTCTTCTTCCGATTGGCAGACAACTTTGGTCTTCCACTCCCCTCGGGCCAGACAAATCTAATTCAGATGATTATAGTGTTCCGTGTAGTCGGAGTCGCATTTGACATTAATGGGTCTTGGCTTGCTATAGCAAAAGGAAAGAAAAATGAATATAAAGACAAAACAGGTCGCTATAGCCAGGACAGGGATGATGACTTTTTAGAAATTATTCAACCCAGCGTTGTGGATATATTTCACTACACTTTTAATTATATTGGTTTATTAACAGGTAATCTATGCAATTTATGTACATATTAAAAATTACAAATAAAATTAAGTATTACAGGAAAATAGAACAATAAAATTTTCTGCATTGTATTTGCAACCTCAATTGTATCTACACATACTAAATTTCTAGTGTAGGATTGTACAAATCTCCTAGAAAGTGCTTCATTCTTTATATAAGAATAAAACTAACTTGACCATTTTTAGTTATCCAATCATCAATGAAATCAACATTGTCCTATAAATAATAATTAGCGCATGTTTAAAAACGGTCATGTGAATGTGTTGCATATTAATTGGTGTAAAACCTACATACTCTAACTTTAAATAATTAAGAGGTTATTTGTAATTTCCATCAAATTACAATTCAGGTTGTGTTGATTTTTTCAAAGTAAATGGACTTGCTTTTGACTACTACCTAGCCCTGGAGCGAAGACAGGGTCTACGATGGGCGAGCTGCCCAGAGAATGCCTATTTAGTTACACCTTAAAGATATTCATGATACATATGCAACACCTTACAAATATTGTATGTTGCAGCCAAATGGCTTCAGCAAACTGCCGTTCAATTAGGGCCTAGGGAATTTTACTACAGCATGCCATTTAAGAGAGGTTTAAATAACATACAGGCAACATATATAGAATATGGTTTTTACTAAACTAATATGATTTTCAGGTCCCTATTATACATACAGAACATTTGATGACTATTTCCATCTGCCATTTAGCAAGTGTGTTGATTGCTTTGGTTTTACGATAAATACATTGAAAGGTGTTCCTGTCTTCATTTCTCTTTATTTGGCCCTTTCTAATATTTGGCCTTTGGAGGTAAAGTTTATTTTGTATATATTTAAAACATTGTGTATTTTATTTTAAATATCTGCTCTGTCTGATCTATTCTATACACCCAACAGTGCCTACCACAGTTTCTACCATGAGTTTACAGACTTAGTCAAACTTTTAACAATTTTGTAACCACATAGTTTACTGTGTAACCGATTAAAAAAAAAGTGTGTAACATACACACGCGATTACTCCAACATTTGTGAACCGATTTCGATATTTTTTTTTAATATTCCACCTGTAAGGGTGGCAAATTAAGGGATGGATTTCACCTACTTTCCGTTAACCAATTTGAATAAAAGTTGGCAAAAAAAAGGAAGGTACATTTTTGAGGTCGATCTTTTTTAACGCAACTTTCTATATTTTGACATTTTTCGATTATTGATAATTAATAACAAGTAATAAAAACGGCCATGCAAGCAACAGAGACGTTAAGTATAGAAGCTGTTTAATTAAAATAGATTGGTCCAGGCATGTATTGTATTACAATTATTTTGTTTCAGTACATCTTAACGGAGGAACATCACAACCGCAACTTTGTTTACCGTATGTTTTACCCATGGATTCTATTCGCCGCGTTCCGTCAGCGCATTTACTCAGGCATGACGTTGGCGCAAAGTGTCTGCACAGCTGCTGGTCTTGGAGCATATCCAGTTGAAGGTCGCAATAGAACTTCGCATGGTCCTACTGTTGGGTACTTGAAATTGAAACAAATGTAAGTTGAAATTTCTGTACTATTTGTGCTTTTATTTCAGGGAGGTCATACACATGACTAAAATGTATAATGCCACATTAACATTAAATGTGCCCTGGTAGCCTAATGGTTTGACCTACCGCCTCTCAAGCAGAGGCCGTGAGTTCGAATCCGGTTTACCATCTCAGTTTCTCGGAATTAACTGCGAAATTTGCCAATTTACCAGTTTTTCGGTGAAGGAACCTAAACGTTGAACAAGGTTCACAACCCTAAAAAAAGTCGTGTGAAGTCCTAACCCGTAGTGGGCCAGTGTAGTGGTCTGTGGCCTTTCCTGACCGTAACCTTCGCCTGAGAGGAGGCCTGTGCACAGCAGTGGGACGTCTAAATGGGTTGATGATGATGGTGTCATGAAATGTCAATGTGGCATTAAAAAATCTACATTATTGTAAATTGTACTGTCGCTGCTAAGTAAGCGACAATTCGTTTATTACTTTATAATGACGGTATCTTACCATATTGGGTTTGGCACTCATAAGATTATTTTTACTGCTTATTATTGTCAATAACCTAGTTCTAAATAGTGATTATGAGTAGCTTTAAGTTTTGAAAAATTCCAGAAAATTTAAAAATTTAGAATAATACAATTTTCAAGGCTCATGTTATGTTCTACGTTTAGTAACATCTTTTGAAGTTTTATTTACCGTGAATTATAGGACGCACTATAAATTTCCGGAACTGACCACTTACATAAACAATATTTAAAAAGTAATTACAACATTTGAAAATTGAATTCTTTGGCTGTAGAATACAGTTTGTTTCAGATGAAAGATGACTGTCACTTGTTTTTACATTGTAGCGTCATTTTAGAAATAGGTTGTCTACATCACCATGGATTAAACTCGTGAAAATTTTCGTAGTATGATTTTTACGACTTAAGTGTAATTTAACAGCTCAGCAAAGCTTCGCTCGGCTTCAAACTGCTTTTGGCGATGAACCACCATGCAAGACGTTTATTAATAGCTGGTTTACAGAATTCAAACGCAGTCGTGTGAATCTCAGTGACGAATTTCGTGACAGTCGCCCATCCACTGCTGTGAACTACAAAAACATCGATGCTGTGCGCCGTAAGATCAAAACAGACAGGCATGTGACATACCATGAGATTCGGGCCTCTTTAGGCATAGGCATGAGTCAAATACAATCAATACTACACAAACATTTGGGTGTGTAAAAGCTGTGCTCTTGGTGGATCCCACACAATTTGACTGAGGCTCAAAAAACGGTTCGCGTCACTTGGTGCAATGCCATGCTTACCAAATTCAACGAAGGGGCGTCAAATTTGGCGTGGGACCGAGTAACAGGTGACGACATAGATTTATAGTTCTATATTATACTCGTAGATCCCAAAACAAAGCAGCAATCGAGCGAATGGGTCTTTCGAGATGAGCCAAAATCAACCAAAGTGGCGTGCGTGCAAAGTGCCTCTAAGGGGACGATTGCTTCTTTTTTTAATAAAACTGGACACGTGGCTACTGTTGCTTTGGAGAATCATTGTACCGTGAATAGTGATTGGTACACGAGCATTTGTTTGCCGGAAGTTATTGACAAACTCCGTAAAAATAACCGTAAACGCCGTATCATCTGCACCACGATAACGCCAGTTGTCACACGGCCAGACAGATAAATAAATTTTTGGAGGTGAACAACGTTTACCTTATGAGCCATCCCGCGTACAGTCCCTACCTGGCACCTTGTGACTTTTATTTATTTCAAAAAATTAAGAACCAGTTACGCAGTCGACGGTTTTCATCACCTGAAGTGGCTGTCGAAGAGTATGAAAAATATGTTTCAGAGATTGTCGTGGAGGAGTGGCATAAATGTTTTAAAAATTGGTTCATTCGTATGAAAAAGTCATTAACGCTAACGGAGAATATTTTGAGAAACAATAAATTCATTTCTCATCATTTATAGTATTTTTTCTTATTCATTCCGGAAACTTATGGTGCGCGCCACTTAAAATAAATTTGTAAAGCTAACAGTCGCATCAAGAGAGAATTAAAATGATTTCATAACAGCTAAAAAAACCTTTTTATTGGTTCCATCATTTTCGTGGTAAGATCAGTAACTTTTGACAGGAGTTAATGTCAAATGCAGAAAATTAAAGGAAAAATATCTGGAAAAATATTTGTTTTTGTATAAAATATGATTTTTTCAAAATGGAATTATTTCCATCACCCAACAACATTAAGGATATAGCACGGTTGATTAAAGTATGTTGTTTGTGCAACTCCTAATTCATTTTTATTGTATGTAATAAAATTGCCAGGTTGTCTGGGTTAGTTTGGTAATTTCAAAATCCATTATTACAGGTCAGAGGAACAAGCAAAAAATGTTCAATATGACTTCAAAACAGTAGAATCAATGGACCTGTGGGGTTGCGAAACTTGCATTACCATGCGTGACTCCATGAAAGTGTGGAACAAGGCAGTGCAATATTGGGTTGCTACGGTGGTTTACAAACGGTTCCCTTTCACGCCATTGAAGTAAGTCTCAATTATATATGCATCTGAATGCTTTTAATAGAATTATGTATGTGTAATAAGTTTTTAAAACCTATATATACTGACCAGTTAAGTCCTTCTTAACTGGTCAGTATATTTCTGTCTTTTTTCTCTGTAGTTGTAGTAACGTCAACCTATTTTTTTAATAAAATTTTAAATGTTTACAGATTACACGCGGCGCTCTTCATTTCTGTGATCTGGCATGGTTTCCACCCTGGATACTTCTTCTGCCTTTACTTCAATCCATTCTATCTGTTGGCCGAAGATATTTATTACAAACTGTACTACAAGGACGCAACTGGGGCCGTAAGTATTTAACAAGTTTGTTGTACATGCACGTGCAATAATGTCTGTCTATATGTATTGGTCTTAATAAATCGATATTATTTGTTGATTCAAAATTATGATAAAGCGTGCTGACATTAACAATACCACACGCGTTCAGAGGGGTCTGACCCTTAGTCGTACTAGCGTTATAGCGAGATCCACCGTCTGTTTTGTTATTTTATTCTAATTTAACACACATTTCAATATACATTATCAAATATGCAGTATCGTCACTGTGTACTGTTGAATTTATTTCTAACCACATACAATTTTTTCATACTAAAAAACTATACCACACTAGCAATAAATCTAAAACAGTAAGTGGGTATTTCATAAAAAAAATAACTAATTAATAATAATAATATAATAATAATAATAATAAATAACGCACACACTCAACATTACTACACTAATTATTACATCGAAGCGCAAAAAACGATCGTAACGAATAGATTTGGTTTCACTTTCTTCTTCAATTACCTGCTTATGTCACATTATTTATTGATATATTTAAAATGTAAATACTTAATTTGAGTTTTAAATTTTACAGAAAAAGAAAATCGTCGGTTTCATAATGTGGTTCCTTCGCTCACATTCAGAATCCTACCAAGCAGCTGCATTTTTGTTACTCACGTTTGACCGTATTTGGATATATTATTCATCTATGTACCACTATTGGTACGGAGTTTGGCTAGTGTTCCTTATATTAGGAATAATATTAAAGCAAGTACACAACCTGAAAAAGTCTAAGAAAGATTCAGTTGAAACAAAGAAAGATAAAGTCAATTAATTAAGCAGGCAAGGCAAAGAACATACAGTTTCGCCGGTTATATAGAAACGAAGTTGGTATTCTAATTATGAGGGATATGTTAGATTAGTGGTAGATATGAAAGATTATATACATTTCCAGAACTAATTGACATTACATTCTCAACTTCAGACTGGCTCTCAAATTAGATGGTTAGGCATTTCGATGCCTTCCTAGATTAGTGATTTCCTAATGCTGCATTTTATACAGTTAAATCTAGTGTGTACCATACCAAGTTTAACGTAGAATGTATAGAATTTCATGACAATTTTATTTATTTAGTGGTAAATAAAATAATATATATAATAAAACAATATTTGTTTAGTGGTAAATGTATATGTACGAGTATAATATGGTAAAGGGCAACGACAAGTTTGGATTGTGGAATGGTATGACAATATTTATTCAGAGTTTTGTTTCTCATGTTTCTGTGTGGTTTTGATTATAATCACAAGTTGCTCAACCTGTAAATTTTTACTAAAACAAATTATAGTGGTAAATCTAGTAAAATATGAGTATGTATAATTTTTTTTTTCTAATATCGCCTGCTTAAAGGTGACACCACATAAGTGACATTTTCCACAGAAAATCTCCAAATTATATACCAGTTTTATTATACTTTATCTTTCTGTAGATAAAGCTCTAATTAAGTTTATAGCTTTTTTGTTATTGAGCTTCACGTGCAGAAAGATAGTGATTTTCTTACCATAGTATCTTCTTATTTATATTGTATATAATTTTTTTTTTGTGGAAAATGTCACTTATGTGGTTTACCTTTAAACACACGATATATTATTTTATAAGAACAATAAAATAAATTCAGTAGAAACGGTAAAACGTGAGCATGTACAATTATTACTTATTGTAATATATACCTTGTAGTAACCAAGAACAATTAAGTATAGTAGAAATTATTTTATTGGACTGCATGAATGTATAGTCGCATTATTAATTAGAGATAATGATGTTCAGTGGGTTGCTAGTTTTTTATAAAATAAAAATAGTGTTGTCTCAAGGATTGACCTCACAGACTCACTCAGGTCATCAAGGTAAATTATATATTTTTAGCAATTCGTATAAATTTTAAAACCAATAATTTACATTTAAGACTTTCGTGGTTATCCACTATATGATTCACTAATTACAGATTTCTTACCATGGTATGAGTTTTTTTATTTTACCGACATAGAACTCATACCTTCTGGTAAGAAACTTGTAATTAGTGAAAAAAAATCAAGAATTTGATAATAAAAAAACTTCAGTAATTCAAGTAGAGACTAAAATGTAAATGAAATATTTTGAGCCGATAGTGTACTAATTATTACTACTAATTATTTATATAAAAAAATATGAGAATTGTGTATGTCATAAGGCGGATCAAACGATTCAAAATGCATTTTTGTTTTATTCTTTTACATTCTATTTATCATAATTGGGTGAATAATGAATAGAACAACTGAAATTAGGTATATAACATTTAAATTTGATACCAAATATTTCCGATTTTGTTTTGTATTTTATTTAATTACTTTTAATATAGATGATTGGCCGAAACAAAAACATTTATTTTGACATGCAAAATATTAATTACTCTTTTATGTTTATGTTGATAAAGACTACATAGAACGTATTAGCTGCAATTTAAGCAAAATCTGAATGATTTTACAGTTCGATAGGAGATGATCAATAAAAGAAATTATTAAGAAATAAACTTACGTTATGTCGTAGGTATCCATTTTGTATGATTTTTTAATCACCATGTAAATTTTAATATTTGTAATAAATTTTTCTTAAAAAAATATAATTTGTATTGAGCTCTTAGGTTTTCGCGACTGTTACACATAGGAAATGAAACTATTCCGGATTTAAATCGCGTACATTTGTTTTTTTCAAACAAACCAACGTTTCTGGCCCTTTACAGGTCAACCGTGATCATGGGACCTGTAAATGGCCCGAAACGTTGGTTTGTTCATTTCCTATAAAATTTGTATCTATCACTTAGTACTAAAATATTGAAATATGGCACCACAAAAGTGTTTAAAAAAGTATATGTTTGTATAGTTGGCGACATATTATTTGCATCGATTCGTCTTATCGCTTCAACTTTAGAGTACAATAGGACAAAAGAGTGAGCCGTCTCGTTGTTATGCACGTGCTATCTTTCTATTGCAAACAAGTGTATATGCGGAACTAACTTTGTCGAATTAGTAAGAAAATAGTTGGCAGTCGTTATTCTACGAAGTAACGACAGTTTAAAAAAACCGACCTGATGAAAAAGACATTTTTAAAATCAGAATTCAGAAAAAGTGTTTAGCGCACCCATGCCTCGTTCGATGGACCAACATCATTAAGTCAATGTACGCTTTGAGTAAAAGAAGTGTTAATGGTTTTATTACTCTATTGCAATAGAAAGGAGAAGCCGTTCCAAGAGATAACATTCATTGGTGCAAATAATATTTCTTAAACTATAACCACTTGCGTGCACATGGTACGAAGCTTGTACTGCCCGCACCTGCCCCTTTCATATATAAACAAAACTTGCAAATTTTCTATTCACACTTTCTCTAAGGCTTGTATATTGCTTTTTTAAGATTGTAATCCGTTATTATACGGCTTGGCCACGACTTTGGGCCTAGCTAGGTGCAACACCACGTACGTTTAGCGAATGGCGTTATCTAAAGTGGTGCTTCTTTGTCTCGAAAGTAGTTCATATTTTGAATACGAGAGAAGGAAATCACAAATTGAATAAAGAGCGGTTTAAATATGGCGAATACTGTAACTTGTATGAAGCGTACAGGAAATATCCTGACAAGTTTTATGAATACACGCGAATGACTGTACAAACTTTTGATTATATTTTTCAATACGTGTACGATGTACATTTGAAACACCATATCAAATCCAGACGGGTTGTCACCAATTCATAAAAATTCCGCACCGAATAATATAAAATATTTGTTTCTGCAACCGCAGCTGAGTGCGTCACTCGCTCGCCGCTGTCTGCGTCGCTCTGGGTCGTGACACCTCCTTCGTTCGCCCGTACATTTGTTCCTGCCGCGCCTCAGCTATAAATTGCTCTGCGAAAATCGCGCGGGATGTCGCTTCGAGCGGCGCGCTTCATATATTTTAATACATTTGTTCTTGCCGCTCGTCGCGCCGCACTAAGCTGCCGCCGACAGCGGCACGATCGTGGCCAACTACTTAGTCGAATATTCTCATCTTAGCAATAGTAAACTTACATGAAAAGGTCATGGTGTTTCTCGCGTATACTTACATGAAAAGGTCATGGTATTTCTCGCATATACTTACATGAAAAGATCGTAGTGTGTCTCGCGTAGGTATTGGTTTTAGTGTTTGTAAATATTTCTTCAATGTCCACTGTAAACTCGGTATATCATGATGTTCTTGAGCGTATGAAGGCGTTGTAATTACACTTGTTGTAGTTATTTGTTGTAGTTACACGTTGTAATTTAGCTCCGGGTGTTACACGTGACTAAATTATGAATTCCAGATTGCGAAAACTAACAGTTTTTGCTTTGCTTCCAGTCCGTTTAAATTGCCATCGTTTAAAATGCAACACCTCATATACCCACACGGTAACCTATCTCAAATTGGATTTTTTTTTCCAAAATAACGTTTGTTCGAATTTACATTACACCGGAAACCGAATTATAACGAAACCGCTATTCTTTCAGGATACACACACACAAGATTAGGTTGGGTTAAGTTAGGTTTAAAAGAAAAAACATTTTCCTTTCAAAATTACTTTCGAGGTTTTGAAAATTTGAGTAAACGTTATTGCTGGAAAATGTCACTACTACTACGACTACTGATAGGTAACCTACACACATTCACCGTGTGATATCTGCCGGCGCGAAACACGAAAATTTGCCTGTGTTAACGGGTGTGTAAACATGCGCACTCTTTTATGATGAGTGAGTGCATGCGCATGCGAGTAAATTTCCTTTCGCCCTCGCCCGTCGATCTCGCCCCTTTCCAATTTACCCGAGAAGAGTAGTGTCACCGTACAGAGGAGAAAAAATATTTTATTGTTCAAATTCAACTTACCATTTTTTTTTAACTAAAATGGAACCTCAATGATTCCTAATATCTAGAAAAAAATATTGAAGGTGACTAGAGAATCACATGTATATGCTTGGGTTAAGTTGTAAGTAAGAAATAAAAGCGCATAAGAGGTACAGATTTATTAGATTTGCTTGTATATATGTAAGAAATAAAAGCTCATGAATGGTACAGATTTTTTAGACTGGTTTGTACATAAGAAATAAAAGCTCATAAGAAGTACGGCGCGTACGAACCCCGTACTTACATGATTACTTGTAAGGTTATTAACCTCCCTGGACTGTATTATTAACATTATAAACAAAACATTTTTTCCTTAACTTTTTAAAAAAACCTAACTAGTTAAACTCAGAAAATGCTATTTTACATGAGAGCGAAAACTCGTTTTGAATCAGTTTTTTTCTCACTCATTCACAAAAAAAAGATATTTTTCAAATCTTTTCAGATAGAATAAAGGGTAAGTAATAAGTTGATTGTAAAATGAACCTGTATTTTGCAAAAATGACAGAGATATTGGCTTACTTAAAAATGGAAATTTATAAAATGGTTAAAGTATGTAGAGTTTATTTAAAGAAATCAAAAAGTTATCAAAAAATTATCAAAGTAAAATAGTACCGCTTTACACAAATTCACGCTCTTATCGATAAAACATGATTTTTACCGCTTTACACAATATTAGGCCGGTATTATAAAACAAAATATGTATAGTTTCATCTCTTTACACCAACCATAGATTTAAGTAGGTATATAAATCTATGACACCAACCATTAGAGACGAAATGTCATTTAATTTGTTTGAAAACTATTGTCGCTATTGATTGTGAGATAAATTAAAAATAGATCATTTTGAACAAATTACTTGCAAATTTTTGCTAACATTAATCCCTTTGCACAATCGTTATCTTCGCGGCCAATGATCGCATAACCAAAAAAAACGATGTAGCATTACGAAAAACACGCAATGGTGTCAAAATCCACATTTTGGATAGACTCGAGTTTAACCGTTTTACACTGGAGATACAGATAGTCCTACGAGGTAGGTCAATGTACGAGGTACTTAGTATTTTACAAATAACCCTGTACAAACAAAATTTGCAAATATTTTGTTCACACTTTTTCAAATTATTGTAAAAGGCTTGTGCTGTTCTTTCAAGTTTGTAATCTGTTCTAAGTCTAATATCATCATCATCATCATCAGCCTATTGCAGTCCACTGCTGGACATAGGCCTCCCCTAATGCACGCCATTTCGCCCTGTTCTCGGCTTGACGCATCCATTTCCTAATCTAATATAACTTTCCTAGTCTAATATAACTTAACAATATTGCGTAGTTACTTACATCTAAGGCTCAACTCACACTGGCGCAGAGTCGAAGTGTCGCGTCCTGTCCTCACTGCGCGCAAGTAACGCGCGAAACCGCTCGACTTTAACTAAGCGTCCATATTTGCATAACACAAATTTGTACCTTAATAATGGGAAAGTAGAGATGAATATGCTATAGGCGAAAAACATGACGCGTCGCGACGCTTCGACTCTGCGCCAGTGTGAGTTGAGCCTAAGCGTCGTGATATATCTCACTTTAGGGTTCGTATAGCAAAAACATTTCTTCTTCGATGCCCACTGTCGTCTCGGTACACCATGATGTGCTTCAGCGTGTCATGATGTGCTTCAGCGTGTCATGATGTGCTTCAGCGTGTGAAGGCGTCGTAATTACCCATGGTCTAATAGCCTTTTATTGGCAGCCAAAAATCATTTAGCTATTGGGTGTTACGCGTTACTGGTAAATAAAAGCCACCTGTATGTGTTTAGGATAAGGTGTACCATAAAAATAAAAGCGCATAAGAGGTTCAGATTTTTTAGATTAGCTTGTACATAAGTAAAAGCTCTTAAGTGTAGGTTTTTAGATTAGTTGCATAGTACCATGGATCAATAAGTCAATAGGACTGCTAGTCTCCATACTACAGATCGTAACTCTGAAAAAGGTCGAAATTCCGTCTTATATCTAGAAGGTGCTGATCAATAGCTGGGAAGTAGTTTATGTTATGTAAATGACCGTGTATGTCAATTAATTCCTCTTTAATGTAAAATATAAGAAATCAGTTTTTTCCTTGTAATATTATTTAAATATTGATCCTACGCTAAAATTATTTTCTGAACTTTGACAAATGTGCCTGTCAATAGACGGCATTGTGTGTTATAAATTAACGCTTCCTTATATGGGTAGATGGAGCTAACTCTAAACAAGTAAAAGAATAGCCGCCACTATCCCTAAAAATCGATGCAATATGCGCCATTTAATCGAGTTATTTGTTACAAACTAGAAATTATAGTAGCTTTGCAAAGTTACAGTTTGTCAATGGAAACAAATTAGTTACAAAAATAGCTATTTGATACTCGTCGCGACATCTGGGTTTCTAATAGTACTAAGTACCCGACTACGTCGTCTTGTATCTCGATTAGCAGTCCTCTTGAGTTATTGGTTCATGGTAGTATCTACCAATTTCTTTACAAAATTGGAATTTGAATGATTCCTATTGTCTAGAATTTTTTTTGATGGTGATTAAAAAGTCACCTGTATATATTTCTAGGTTCAGTTGTAAGAAATAAAAGCGCATAAGAGGTACAATTTTTTAGATTAGCTTGTACATAAGAAATAAAAGCCCATAAGACAATAGGTTATTAGTAACCTCGCTGAATTAGATTATTAACGTAAAGAAACACATTCCATGAATTTTTACAAATCGAAATCAATTTACTAAAAATAAACTTTTAAGTTTTTATTATACTCTCTGATACTTTGTCATTTCATAGGACGTTTAAATGTATAAGCATCTTTCCCGATTATCCCCAACCCCGCTTCTTACGTTTTATATCGGACTGGTTTTACGCTAGTGCTTTCTTTTGCAACTTTCTTCTTTTGTTTAGCTATTGGGTTTTAGAAGCGACTACGTTATGAATCCCAGATTGCGAAGAACAGTTTCTGCTTTGCTTCCTGTATGTTTAAATTATTAAATTTCCACTGTTTCAAATGTAATATCTCACATAAACAAACTCGCGGTGTGGTATTTCCCAGCGTGAAACATTAAAATTAAAATTTGTTTGTGTATAGTTTGCATGTAGGACAGTGAGTTCCTTTTGATTGTTGATTTGTCCAAGGACCCACTGCCTTCGCGTTTCTTTCTTTTTCATTTGCCCGAGAAGCGTAGTGTCACCAAAAAAAGTGTGGAAAATATATTTTATTGGCCAAATTTAACCTACCATTTTTTACAAATATCAAATTTGAATGATACCTAATGCCTAGAAAAATATTGATGGTAATTAAAGAGTCACCTTTTAGGTTAAGTTGTACATACGAAATAAAAGCTCATAAGAAGTGCAGATTTTTTAGATTAGCTTGTATTAGAAATCTCATAAGAAGTACAGTTTTTTTTATATATTCGAAAAATTATATTACATTGCTCATGTTTTACGATATAGAACAAAATTAACAATAATTATTAGGTGGAATATTGTATGATTACATTTTACATATAATCTCAATTTTTTTTTAAGGAATAATAAAATACGAACTATAACTACTCTAATTTTAAAAATTACAAATAAAGTTATCTTGTCATTGAAAATTTGTATAGTTTTACTTGTATACGGTTAAGTTACATAAAAATAAATTACAATATAAAGGCTTTTATGTTGGAAATATAAGAGGTAACTTGGCAAGTGAACAACTATGGTAACTACAATTGCATGTTCCATATAAAAAGTCACGATGTTTTTGTACAGTAGTACCTATTCGTTTTCTAATAGCACGCAAGTAGGCCTATTTAGTACAGTGTGCATCAACACCAGCTCTATTAAGATCAATACTAAGAAAAAAAGCACCTTGTTAAAAATAAAAAACACCCGTGTTTGTTAAATCATCAATATTATATCATCATGTATACACAAACAATTTTGTGTAAACACTACAATCTCGCGTGTAATTTAGCGAAAAATCGATATTGCAATAACATAATATTGGGCGAACAATGGGCGGTTTCACTTGGGCAACATATTATACACTTAAAATTCTGAAACAACAAACAACAACAAACAAAGATATATATCACACTATATTGTTATCGAATGCCGTATTATACTCTGGATGTATTGTTGTATCAGGTACGTCATAACCACTGTCACACTGAAATGAAACGTCAGAACAATACATTAGAAGATTATTTAGTTTGGATGGCACTTTCTACTTATAAACAAGTTATACTATACAAAATAAAAGAGTAACAAACTTAATAATGCAAATTATATAAAGCATTGTGCACAAAAATAAAATAGGTTTTAAAGATTAAAAATGTTTGCGACATAATCTATACCAATATTCACAAATATAGTGTATAATAATATTAGGTAGTCTTTATTTATAGCCTCTTAGAGAGTTTACGAAAATATGAGTCAAGTTGAGATTAGTTTCATTTAGAATAAAAGGACAGGATTTGCCATAATTGTCTAACAAGGTTTAAGAAAATTAACTAAATCTGTTAAAAGCGCAAGTTTACGACTTGAAATCAAACCACTTTCACATTTCACAGCTGATATTTTTTTCGCAACTTGAGAGGGGCCGTAACAGTATCTAAAAGCAGTGTGGTTTTATATACTTGCCTTTGAAAAAGTTTTAGTTAATTTTATTTTACCGATTATGTTAACTAGTTTAAAGGGCACACTCGGTTATTATCTCTCATTATGTATATACACAATTACAAAACCACTCTTACCAATGAACGCATGCAATTATATCAAACGAAATTTTTGCCTCGTCTGAGAAGACTAAAACCATACTTGAGTGTTATAATAATATTCATAAGCAAGATAATTAAAAATGTGTCTTAAAGCAAAGGTTTTGAGTATAATTTCAACTTAGCGTCTTATATTAGGTATACATATTTATTTCGATTTTGTGACTGCTTTGTGTTTAGTAAGTTTATTACAAAAATATATATGTACTCGCAATAAAACTTAAATAATACCAATCTATATTTGAAGCATCTGTTTAAAAGCATTTTATAAGGTATCCCTACTACTGCAGATAAATATCTATATACAAATATATGCATAACTAAATAGTTATGCATATATTTGTTGATTGGGTGTGTATTTCAATACCTAGAATTGTCTTAAAATTCTTAATATATAAAGTTAAAAATTAGTGCAGAAAATAGGGAGTAATGCACAAGGTAAAAGTAAGCAGTGGTCCAAAGGAAAGCATTAAATAAAATTAATACACCTTTAAGCCCACACCACACCAGTTGCACAACGATTAGACGTTATTTACCCGATATTCCAGCCGTAGGACACAGGCTTTTGCGTGGTGGCCGCGCCACGCGCCTGATTTTGATTATGCCCGTAGTTCTTGTACGTCGATTGGCCTTGCGCCTGGTCTGATGGATAAGTTCGCGGGTTAGAATTCCTCGAATTAGAGCTGTATGAGTGGTAGTTTGGGTTTTCCATAATAGGCCGTGTGTTGGTATTAAAGAAATTACTTAGTCCACCGTTTTTAGAGAAGTCGTTGAGAATGTTTCCGAAGATGCTGGAGAGACCGCTGCCTCCTGACCCACTGGTACCGTGGCTGCCGCTACCACCGGAGCTACCGCCACCGCCGTTTGCGTATTTATTCAGTGTGTTTAAGATACTGTCGAGCGGACTTCCACCTCGCCCGCCAGACCCAGATCCTCCAGAATTATTACCTCCGTAAGGATTGCTGCCCCCTCTGTTCGAGCTTCCGCCATAAGGCGAGCTCCCTCCGTAGGGAGAATTTCCTCCGTACGGATTGCTACTTCCTCCATAGGGTGAGCCTCCTCCACTTTGGCCACCGTATGGCGAGTTTCCACCGTAAGGTGAGTTTCCGCCGTAAGGTGAGTTGCCGCCGTACGGTGAGCCGCCTCCGTTTTGTCCGCCGTATGGTGAGTGTCCGCCGTACGGAGAATTTCCACCATAGGGAGATCCTCCACCGTTGTTTGAGCTACCGCCGTACGGCGAGAGGCCGCCTGGAGGTGCAGGGGGTGGGTAGTGAGGAGGGCTGTCAAAGTCTCTCATGGGAGGTTTAGGTGTTGTAGGCCTAGGTGCTGGTGGTGCTGGTTCTGCATGAGATCCTGAAACCAACGAATAGATAGGTATTTATGTAAATCATTGTTCATATTAAAAAAAAATTCAAACCTTGCAGGTTTTTGGTGGCATTGTGCCAGTAGCACTGAGTTTACAAAGTCAGTTACCTTCAACTTTTGACTTCTTCTTACACGTGGGGTATGTGCCACAATCTCGACTTTGGCCGTACGAGCACGGGTCCTCAGCTAGCACACATACTTCGCTGTTTAGGCACCCGATATCCTTGCACGTGCGGCCGTATTCTGAAAAAATAAATAGAATAATTAAGATGCTAAATGGGACATGAAAACATTTTTAGCTCATTTAGCTCCCTCATCTTGAAAAGTTTATCTGCGAAATTTTCGTTCAACCAAATCTACTTAAAAGACCTCTTTGTGGTCGAAAATATATAAATAAATAAACAGTCAACTTTATCAGGGATTTACTGCAAACATTAACTAGTTACACGAAAGGAGCCTCCCTGCACGACGTACAATTCTTTTCGTATGTCTGGCGCTCCCTGGGCAAAAATACCTTACGCGGATTAGCAAATTCTTTCACCACGAGGGCAATCATAATGGATAAGAAGTCTGTTTTCTTTGAAGATGGGAGTAAAATTACAGTTCATTGCGCAAAAGTGTTGCCCATTTGCAAGCAGCTAGTGATTGCTGTCGATAAATATTTTATCGACTTTCGACTGAATGTTGGTTACGCTTATGCAATAAAAATGTATTTCGATACTAAAAGGCTAATTGTTAAAATAATAATGAAGGAGGCAATAACGCAATTATAGTAATCATAGAATGTCGTAATTTTCACAATTCAGACATTTTTGGTAAAATTTTACCTTCTTTCACAATCTACCGATAAAACTGTCGACAACAAATACACGAGTATTTAAAATTTTATGAAAACAGGCACAGGCAACCCAGCAAATGTCATTTTATTCCGTCTTCAAAAAATACAGACTATAGCACATGAATATCGTCGCGAAGTGTAAATAATTAAATTTACATATTTTTTTAACTGTTTACAAACGATGATTATGGAATGAGATATAGGCGTAGGTAGTATTGGGAGTACGCTTGCCTTCTTGTACTTTACTGTACTTGTATAGGGTCAAGAGCACGGCACGCTTTACCCTTAAGACTTAAATCCAACGCTATGCCGCTTACGATAAGAACGGTCCAAAGTACAAAGTGTCAAGCTTGATGTGCTCTTGACTGTACTTTCGATTAGAACCTTCACAACTGGTTCACATTATTCTTCTTAAGAGGTGTGAAGCCTCCAACCCGTATTAAGCCAGCGAGTGGCCACACTTCTATAGGTTTAAGTTCTCTGCCAAGCTATGAGATGTGTACGGGTTGGTGGTCATGGTGGTCAAGTGCTACGGTACCGTATCAAGTCACTAGCAATAAATGAGCTAAGCACTATTTGCAGGTACACAAAAGAGCCGAGAAAGAGAAAGATTGTTATGATTACATACATAAACAAGATTATAAACTATATTTTCCACACGAATTGGGTGCTCACACGACTCAATATCACACGTAATAAAAACCAACCGAAGCGGAAAAGTTTTTTCACTGAATTGTTTTTCCATTGTAAGTACAAGCCTTCTGTATTATGTAAATATAAGGGCGGGAAGAATTTCCAGGGATAAAAAATCTAAGGACGTGATCTGAGGACGGAGGGACAGAGAGATAGGCGGATAAGGTTCAATACTATTACAAGAGAAACAATAAAACATTTCAAACGTGTTTTGGAAACGTATAAATCAATAAAAGGCATGCTAAAATTGGGGTTTTCTCACAAAAAGTTGCTGTATAGAAGCAGATAGTTTATATACAATAATAATGAATTTTCAATCAATTCAGTAATTATTTTTCTATCAAACATAATCGTCATGAACCCATTGATACGATCCACTGCTGCAAACAAAGAGTGTCATTTCATTGACTGTATTTTCATACAAGAATTGGTTAACATTTAATGAACAATTCACGCTTATTTCTTGAGTAAGAATAACACGATTTGTTTCCCGAAATATGGAAGTCAAGTGTGTTTTTATAGCGAATACATTTGATGCTAAGAGTGGGGTGGGAAATTCTGGAAGTATGGCATTTGCCACTCAGCAAGTGCGATTTTACAGGCAATAAAAACAAATAAAAAGAGCTTCATAAGGTCGGATCATAACTCATTGTTTCGTTACTTTAGAGACTGGGATCCCACACGTGTAATTTAACGCGGAGTCGAGAAAATTTCTTTGAATTTCATATTACGCGTTTCTATGCCAAAAAAAAACGGACCTGAGAAACCCAAAAAAGAGTTGATTATGGAAAGTAATAACAAGTTGCCGAGTTACTTTTGTTCGGTTCATTAGTATATTTTATAATTAAATTATATAAAGCAAAGCCAAAAAAAACGATAAGTTTCTGCGATTTATAATTTACCAGTCATAATTGTTGAGCACAAAACGTTACAAATAAAAAAAAATGTTTATCCCACTGTAAGACTGTTTACTACTAGGCGATTACAAATATTGTTTAGGATTAATTTGTATTGGAAATTTCTTACGATGCCAGTATCCATGTAAGACAGAAAAATTAAAGAATAAATGCCGGTCTCTTGAGACAAAAAACGTCCGTAATTTCCGAGTAAACGTGCAGTCACCGACACCGTAAGTCATAAGTTGTTTTGTTACTTTCAGGCGCGCGGTTTATGTGTGCATTAGGTAATGGATCCGAGCCATATCTTACGCCAATCTTCGGGGTGCTACGTGACTCGGGCAGGGAAGGCTGAACCATCGCTTTAGAGTCAATATTTCAATCGAAAACTGTAGGAGATATATTTCGATGATTTTCGTGATACATGATATATTTTAGTGAAGTTAAAACGTTTCTTTGGACCAATTTATTTTTGATTTTCAATTTTGTTCATTATTAAGTACTTCTAGATTAATCTCTTATTATTAATCTGTTATGATCAGAGATGAGCGAGTGTCCGGGTTGTAACCGGCATTTTGCTAATGCTGGGTTAAATCCCATTAATGACCAAAATCGAAGGCAAAAACTATTTAAACTAAACATTTGTTGTAAATCGAGTTTTGTTCAAATTTAATAATATTATTACAAAATGTTTATGGCTTTCCGATCACATCAAAAAGTAATTTACAATTTAAAGAAAGCCTTTCTACTATAAACAGATTCAGGTTTGCTTGAAAATCGCATTGAAATAATTCGATACATAAAATCGTTTGGTCGTATGCACTTGAATCGATTTTGGTAAAAATAGAATCATAATGTACATCCTTAGTAGTGAGAATCCATAGGATTCAGGAAAGATTTTTACATCGAAATTTGTAATAAGTATGGAATTTTTCCGTATTCCACTATCGCCATTTCTGCCCACAATTTTGGGTAGAAATGGACTAAAACCTGTCGCTTTGGGTTAAAACCAGGACGGGTTGATTGGGTTTTAACCCACTGCCCATCTCTGGTTATGATTTAAACTTACATTGTAATTTCATCGTTCTTTTGATACAAATTTCCTAGAAACCACGCCACCACCACCATTGAAATTAACCTACATAAACGTTTCGTAGAACCATCTATTCGGCTATTTAAATAGCATTTCTAATTGGGAAACCAATTCAGTTCAAAGGTTGTGGGAAGAAATTTCTCTACATAGCTCTTCTATTTACACCACTTGTAAGTTCTTTTCTTTGTAATTCATATAGGTGATTATAGGACAATACAGCATTGTACATAAGTAAAGAGTAGAGGATACAAAAAATGTAGACGAAAACCACAGACGAATCGCTTTTAATAAAGCAACTTCCAATCAAAACAATTAAAAAAAGAGAACTTGAGAGAAAGGCCATTTTTATTTATTTTATTTTACAATTTTAGGGAAACTAACAGCTAGGCATATAAATAGTTTTAGAATAATAAAATAGATGGCCAATTACAAGTTTCCACAGATCACAGTTAAACTTTACATTAGAACTGTACAAACACTTAGCAGAAATAAATCAAAAGGAGAAATTCTTACTTGGATTACCTATTTAAGGGAAATAAAAAAAACAAACACTGATTACAGAGTAGTAGCTTAAGTTGGTCGGTGAAATATTGAAAAAGTCAATATCGTGCTGCTTTGTAATTCTGTTTATAGCACTCCATATAATAATATAAGTAGAATTGTATTACTCACTGGAAAATCCATCAACGTAGAGCACCAAACAAAGAGTAACTACAGTCGTTCGCCAATCCATGGTGACTCTGAAACAAAAAGCTAAATTTATACCATCAGTTGCGAAAAAATCCGGTGAAATATGAACGCTCTTCATGTGCCGGAGGGTTCTGTATAAAAAGTCTCTATTACGACACTCTTATGTCTGTCACAGACTCATAACTTTTGATCTATAAGACGTAAGTAGACAGTGAAAATTGCTTGAGCTAAAAGTGGGCAGTTGATTTTTAGTTTTATATTTAAATTCTAAATTTAAATGTGATAGTTTTTGGCGCCTTTTCTCGACTTTTGTTTGCTGTTTTGCTTTGAAAGCTATACGTGTTTTCTAATAAATTAATAAGCTGTAAGTACATTTGCTTTGGTCTTGCTCACTCGTTGTTAGCACCCACCCTTTAACCCATTGATACAGTCCGCTACACGAGGTATACTGCCCTTCACCATAAGTAATGTAATTGACATTTTTAGTAAAATTAGTTACTAACTTATCTGGGTTCAGTGAATGGACATCTACAATCCCTCTAATCGGATTTAAAAACCTTATTTAGTTTCATTTTTATTTTTAAGCAAAATCAGCGAAATTTGCTATTTTTAGGTGACAATAAAACTTTAGGTACCAAATTTCTCTAAAGTTACCGGAATGTAATTGTTTTTAAATTTATAAATAAATCAAAGTTTTTTCTCTGCATTGCATCTGTAAGTGGAGAATGCGAAATGAAAGGACAAAGTTTGATTATTGCACAATTTTACTACTGTGCAAGTTCGAGATTTTTATCTCTGAAACGAATCGGTGAAGTTCAAAATCCATCTCATATCTATAATCCTTTCCGTCTTTCAGTACCTTGTTAAAAAAAACTGCACACATATGAAGATACTGAATAATTTATCATATTAATACACTATAATATATTAATATGACAAATTGGAACAGTGCGTTCCAATTTATCATATTAATCATAATATCAAAGTCATAAGAAGTTAGGCAAAGGGTACCTGAAAAGTGATTATAATGATGTTCATTGCTTACAATGAGAACGTACACGAAAGTCACCTGACTAAAGGGCTAAATAAAAAAACTTGATCTAGGTGTGTATTTGTATAGCAGAGTGTCGATACAAGTGCAGTCTGCCTACGGCGGCTGGTACTGAAATTGTATAACAAGCGACAACGGCATTTCCTATAATTTAATTTCATTGCGTTCGCTCGACTGAAAACAATTTGCAGTTTGCTATTTTTCATAATAATCCAAACCGACGAGTCCTGTGGCTTATTTATTGCTGTTTCCTATGTGTGACGTTAGTGGTAAACAGTTTCTCGGAACCAGAACTTGTGCGTCAGCTTAATGCAGACAAAATAGCTTTTCGATGATTGCACTTTATACAACAATATTTAGCATTATACATAATAAGTTTTCAGGTTTGTTTATATTTTGACGTAACTATATCGAGTTTAGGTTTACGTTATTGCCATTCTTACTATCTTTAGCTTTCAGTATAATAAGGAGGATGCCAATATCTCTTGTTCAAGTTGAGTTGTTTAGTTAAGCAGAGATTCAGTATATATTGCTGTTTATGAAGCGTTCAGTAGCGTGTACGTTGCATACAAAGTAAAGATTAAACAGGGAGATACAAAGGAAGGAGTAGCCGTCCAGTTTAACTGTAACATTTCATTAAGTTCCTTGACGGATGCTTGGCAGTTACAGTTTGTGGAAAGAGTCCTAACAATGTTGGATTTACAAAAACAGCCCCGGCGTTAGGAAAGTTCTTAATAAAAATAATAAACAATATCGATATAAATTATTTCTAGAATACCGTTACTTGTTACTTAGCAAAAACTTTTTGCAAATTAACTACTTACGAACAACAAACAGGAACGACAACTAACTAATAGCAGCATAAGTTTTTGTATTTTGTTAAATAATCCAGTACTACATTTGCACAACTGCGATAGCAGTTTTCGAAATATTCTCTACATCTATTAAGTTTCTTTCTGTGTTCGGTCCTGGGTAAATCAGCCGCATTGTACGAATGCGTCTCTGCACTATGAAATAGCTCGTCGACACGTGTATTTCCTACGCTGCACACGTCTGTCCAACGCTGAAACTTTATGACACCTAACTCAGCAGCATTCCCCGAGCAATTTCACAGAAACTGTTCCCGTATAACCTCGTTACCAACTACGTTCAGGTAAGTAAAACGCTTGCCGCGATACTTGTCTCGCTTTATTGAAAATTCGAAGCCACTGCCACAATGAGAAATTTTAGATACGTTTGCTTTATGTGCTCCTTCAATAAAAACCAATTTGTAAAACGCTCTGGGAGGTTAACGAAATTTGGAGTCTTACACAGTAAGACTGGGATGACTTTAAAGAAATATTCTATAACCTTTGTACGATGTAGAATAAAAACACAATGAATAAGCAAATTGCTAACTACATAAACAAAATTATACAAATATCTGAAACAATAATAGCGAGCAAAAGTTATATAACACATATACAAACAAGCATTGACCAACAATGTCAATAAGTAAAATCGATTGTGAAACTTCCTAAATGTTTATAGATTTCGTAAGAATTTAATAGATACCACATTATATTCCATAAATTCGTTATTGCAAACAAATGGTTGTATAATTAAAACTACTTTCGTATTAGAAAACACAGTCACTAAATAAATTTTTGCACCACATAATTTAAGGGACAATTTTCGACTAATCCACCGCGCTGGTACGAAATCACGGAATGAAGTGCGGTGGTGGCGTGACGGGGTGCGCCCTTCGGGTCGAAGGCGAGGGTCACGGTAGTCACGCAAACCAGCTTTGTTCAAGAGTCTAAAAATTTGATCTATTTTTATGAACTAACTTTCATAAAATTATATGAAATCTTGGAGAGATGAAATTATTTAAAATTTGTTTCGCGTGGGCCAACATGCTATTGACACAAGGGACCCAGGGATACGAAATGTTTGCTGTGCTAATGAAGATTAGGTCAGGGCAGCATAATGTCGTGTTGACGTAGGCACTCATATGCGTTTGCTTGACTGTAAAAATTCGGGTTCATTTCCAGGTACGCTAGTCGAGATTAGAATTAATGGGCAAGCGTTGATTAAAAAGGGTGTGAATGTAAAAATTAAAAGGATTCCGGAGGATATTACATGCCATAGAGCAGAAATTGGATAGCGATACGAAAGATATATTGCCCGACATAAAGCCGCTCTCGGTAACTTTCTACCCATTTCCGGCAGCCCACTTGTGAATCGTATTTCGGAATCCTTTTTATCTTTTTGCGGGTGCGGTGCGGCGCGTCGGCGGAACGCGAAGTGACAGCGGCACCGAGCCACTTCGCAGCTCATATATCACTTGAGCCTGTAACGGCCGTGTTAACGGTCCGCCTGTCACCTCCGCGCTTCAGCCGTCTGCCAAACCATACCAAACCGCATCCCGGCCGGCACTACACTCCTCGCAATTTTCATCTACCCTGTTATTGTTTGGATGGCTAGTTAAATTTTCACGGTACATTATTCCAACAACGAAGCACAATTGTGCTCAAACAGAGACAGATTCCGAAAACGTGATCTATGATGTGAGAAGAGCCAAACAAAGCGCCTTAGTGGGTAGAGGGATTTTACGCGTTCAAATTCTGAGCGCGGTGCATCGCCGCCGGTACGGAGTCCCCACAAATTCAGGGATTGTACGGAGCACGCGACGGGCGGAAAGTAAGGGTGTCGCTTACCGGGATTTATATCGGCGGAAATCTCTGGCGTGTTCACACTTCATGCCCGTGTGACGACGCCAGATAAAAATGCTCGGAGGAATCGCGAGCGCTTTGCACAGATTTTCGTTCTCACCTAACTAAGCACATTCGCTGCACCCACATTTGTGGTCGGGATTTAAAGCTCTTACTGCCGTTGCTTCAAGATATGAAATCCCAGTTAATCTTCTTTCTTACACTTATGCATTTTCAGTAACTGTACTTATGTATGGCACAGTGTAGTTTAATTACGTAGGATGAAGCTGAAAAGGGTCTCATTAAGCTAAATTTTGTTTTAATGTCACGAACAAAAAATGTTCTCCTTCCGTATTTTCAACCTGGGCTTCCTTCCTATAGCGCTAACAATAAGCCTCGTGGGAGTGAAATGACCGAAAAGTACCTACTAAACTGCATGAACAGTTTCATTACTAAGTTCGTCTGCACTATAATGAGGCGCTCACGGGAACATAAAACTCATATAAATATAAATAAATAGCACACGTAGCGCTCACCAGAATGGAGATAAATTTGTCAAAATTATCACAGCACTAATGAAGGTCGGAATATCACTGGTTAAATGTATTATCGCGCAAAATTTGCGCCGTTAAAGTCCAGTATGGTGATAAATACAAACTTGGCTTCTCAACTCAGTGGCAACGACTGTGCCGTGATAACACTGGGTATGTTGTAAATGAGATCACACTCGTTACTCATTCTAAGAAATAAGCTAAGTATTGTGACGTTGAAAATTTAATAATATGTAAACAGATGTTATCATACGTTTAAGTCGGGAATAGCTATATTGTATCTTCTCATAAATATATACGCAATACGAATATGAATACATGTAATGAAGAATCTCTTGCTGGCAGTAGTAAACTTATTTATTAGTTTGACTGGAACTCAAATAAGTGAAGGTCTTACTAACTTCTGACTTTTCCCCGACGTCAATAAGGAGAAAAACTTTCGATTATCGATTATTCCTTATTTATATTTGATATAGGTAGCTGGTAGGGGTCGCGTCTATTACAGAAGCTTAGAATTACAGCAATTAGTGTCAAAACTTGGCCCATTTACGCATGAAACATAATAAATGTATGGTTTATTATGTAAACTGAGTCAAAATTATCTTTGTTATGGGTGTATAAGATTTATTGAACTCCAATTTTGGGATTAAATTAAAGTGTTAACGGTTATTCGAAAGAAGGTTTAGCTGTTCAGTGAATATATCAATAAAATCTTCGATACCTAAAGGTATGAGTCTTTTCAGGTTGGTGTTATG